TTAGTCATGTGTTAAAACCAAAATTCGGGATAATCACTAAAATTTAATTAGTGATATGAGACAAATCGGCCCATATGATATCGGGAATAGGTTTTTTCGACGGGAAATATTATATTTCCCGTTCTACAGCAAAACAAACAAATAGAGCTTATATAGATATTATCTTTATCTCTTCATTTTACTCATTTTACTTAAATTTCAAAATGTATGAAATGATTCTTGTTTATTTTATTCAGTTTTGTATGGTCGTTGGTCCAGTATTGGGTTATTTCGATCAGATCGTGAAATTCCGACGAGCTAAATCTAGCATGGGTTTCTCGTTGGATACAATAGGAGTTCTTCTAACTAGCAAGTAATTTCATTTCAAATGATTTTCTTAGGTAGTAATTGCATAGACGAGTTAGTTGTTAGTTGTTAGTTTACCATTAGTTTTTTTTTTTTAAAAAAAAATGTTTAGTATTCTTCGTATATTCTTTTGGTGAGTATACAAAAAAAAAAAAAAAATCTTTTTTTATCGCATATCCATAATATCATTTAATAGATTCTTATGATTTATAGGATAGGCAAAGAATTTGATAAAACACTCTTTTATCAAAGCATTTTGATGATCGTTGTACAACTTTTCCTCCTTTATGAATGCTTGAGATTTCGTTATCCGATTCCACCTACTCCTAATAGACGTTGGTTTTGGAATTGGTACTCTTACACATCATATATAATTTTTTTAATTTTATTATCAGGATTTTTGGGATTGTTGACTTTTTTCCTAATTGATCAGCAATGGTTGGTTGAAACATTGGGAATTTTAGTATGTATAATTATTTACTTAAGATTTATTTATTTTATTTATTTAGTATTTTATAGTTTTTTTTTTCAACAATGTATTTTTTGGTGTATACCAGGCTCTTGGTACAGAAGCAACCTTGCCAATTCCTCAAGCTTGGCAAAATTTTCAATTCAAATCGGTTTCAGGTTTTAGGTATTTTAGCATTTCGAAATATTTGAAATATTTTTTAAATATATTTTAATTTAATAATTATTAATTCCATTTTTTTTTTTGATTTTTTTTAAAAAAAGTCCATTAATTCTTATCACGTGGTTCGGTGGCGATTCTTTTAAAACCTTTTATTACATCAGTACCGGTTCTCCGCTTCAATTTATTATCTGTGGTATTATACAATTGACAGTAGATTCTATCATCGTGTTACAATTCATTATTTATGGTGGTGTTAAAAGTTTAATTTGTTCGGATACTCCACCACAGCCAATTTATAATTCGCTGGACGAAGTTTAGCGTAAAAAAATAATGTAGATAAAATGAATAATGTAAAATAGACCAAAGAATAATAAAGCGAATATAATCTATTTATTATTTATTATATATACATAATGATGATCATTATTTGATATTCAAAAATTACAATATTTCTATAATGTAGATAAAATGAATAATGTAAAATAGACCAAAGAATAATAAAGCGAATATAATCTATTTATTATTTATTATATATACATAATGATGATCATTATTTGATATTCAAAAATTACAATATTTCTATAATAATTTATAAAATTATTAAAATAATAATAATAATGTTCATAAAGTCTAAATTAAACGATAAATTAATTTAAGTTTTTTTTAGCATGGAATTTTTTAATATCAAGTCTCTATTATATTTCCATTTCGTTATCATTTTGTACATCACCGTATACAAATTTTGCATGATTTTCACGAGAATCAAACAATAACTTCCTTCTTACAGGTTTTTCATCTCCTAAATGAGATTTTCTTATTAATTTAAACAATCCCGTTCCGAGTTGCATAGGCATTCCCATGATTATTGACTCACTTACTCCCTCGAGACAATCACGTTTACTGCGTATTGCGGCATCAAAGAGATGATCTGTCGTCTTTTCGAAAGATGCCAACATAAGAACACTACTTTTCATATGAGAAATACCAAATCGATGTATTCCCAGAACTTCACCCTAATAAATAAATTTACATAAATCAAATTTCAATTATATATTTAAAGAAACCGTCAAAAAAATAAATATGAAAATAAATAATAATTACCTTGTATGTCATGATGTCTCCAAGTAACATCACATGTCGAGGATCAATGCTCATACCATGGCGACCCATAGTATATTGAATCTCTTGAATAATTGTATTCCTATTTTTTTTTTTTTTTTAAAAAAAAAAGAAATTATTAAAAATTCTTAATTCGAATGAATAAGAGTAAACTAAGGTATTTACCTAGCAGCTTCTATTCCTAATACTTTGTGAACTTCATTAACATTATTGCTAGTGGTTTCCGTTCCAACAATACCTTTTTTGAATATAATTAATATAATTAGTAAAATTAGTTTATATTAAATGAAATGTTATAAGTGAAAATGTTATAAAATGTAAATTATACTCAATAAAATTATTTACCTTCTGTTGTCATTACTTCTCTAAGACCATATCCTTCAACAAGTAATTGTTTTTTTCCTGCTTTCCCTTCACTGATAACAGCTCTTGTCACTGATTGAATGCCCTAATAAAGAAAGATCATATAAGATCGATTAGGTATTCTTTTGAAAAACATGTTTCAAAGATAAATCAAATAAATACATACCTTTATTATAACTTTGGGTAAAGAACGTTTTAAATTCTGTAATCTATAATATGAATCAAAAGGATTTTTCGATATTTCTTTGTCTGGTACATATACATTAATTTCATCAGGTAAGGAAATACGAATTCCTGACTAGTGAATTTAATAATAAGGGTTATAAATGAGGTAACAGATCTTCAAAAAAAAAAGTTGCTATTTCAAGAATGATAAATAAATGGTTACATACTATCTCTAATTTTAACTTGCGATCATTGACAATCGCACGTGCAATTTCTTTAATGTTAGTTTCCAACTAATTATCATAACATAAATAACATAAACAGTGACATTGAAAGTTAGTCATAATGATTTGAATAGATAAAATAGATAAGAGAAACATTAGATTATTATTCATTTGAAACCTGAAGTTTTTGTACGGCATCCAAATCTATTTTAATAGCAAGAAAACTTGATTCGCGTTCATACATTTCATCAATGTATTTTGCAATCTAATAATGGTAATTAAGGTATTTTAATTAATTTTATTGAATATATGTTAAAAACAAAAAACCCAAAAAAATCAATTTTAAATTCCACATACTTCTCCTAAATAAGTCGTCTCTAGTCGTCCTTTGACAATTCTGGCAGATTTAACATCTGTATCATTGACTAATCTGCAAGTGATAATAGGGGTACTGATCGTCTTAGAAGCATTAATGATTTCTTTTATACGCGGAACTCCAAGTGTGATATTCATAGATGCGACACCAGCAAAATGGAAAGTTTTAAGTGTCATTTGAGTACCAGGTTCACCAATAGATTGTGCACCTAACGCACCAACAGCCGTCCCTATATAATAATATATAATAAATTAATATGAATCAATTTCATAATCCTTTAGAAAACATTAAATTTCTTTTGGTTCTGAGAATGTTAAATATGAATAATACTAACCTGGCTCAATCTTAGCTCTTAGAAATTTATTCAAACAAATATCCAAAAAATGCAATAATTGTTTTTCAGTTATCTTTAACTTGTGATTAACGACTGCCTTCAAAGGAGCTTAAAAATAAAGAAACAGAATTGATTTATTTTTTTTTTTTAAAAAAAATATTTAATTTAAAAGAAAAATATTTAATTAAAAGAAAAAAAAAAGGATTAAATAAATATTTACCCAAATCTAAAGCATCGTGATCAACATCAACATCTCCGTACTCATCTATAAGTCTTTCATCAGCTCGCATTAAGTTATAAGCTTCACGTATCGAAACAAGTTTTTCGACTAGCTCTTTTTGAATAAACTTTTGCAGGGAACTTATATATGAAGGCGTACATGATTTACAGTATTTATCACTTTTTAATACCTGTTCGGCAACTTCTTTAATTTCGTAAGGTAAAAGTGCCCGATCTTTACCACAAGGAACGATATTCTAAAATAATATTATTAGAATAAGAAACGAGAATAATTAAAATGAAAGTTTAATAAAGATAAAAAAAAAAAAATAGTCGACTTACAATAGTGTGCTGTAAATTACGTTTCAAATCAACCGGAAGAACCTCATCTTCGAGATACGTTGGATCCAATCCATCATCACCGTAATAAAATTGTACTAGTCCACCCGATGAATTACGTACCGACATATCGTAATGAATTGCGAGATCTTCTAAAGCCTATTGATATTGTTTAAAGAAAATAATATGTATAATAAGATTTTGATAATGTATGAATAAAAATATCTCTGTACGTAATTAAAGTATGTACCTTCATTAGCTTTCTTTGCATATAACCTGTTTCAGCAGTTTTGACTGCAGTGTCTACAAGACCTTCCCGACCAGAAATTGCGTGAAAAAGAAATTCTGTTGGAGATAATCCACTATAAAAACTATTTCTAACAAATCCTCTAGCGGCCGGAGTCTTTGCTAAAAGCAGAAATTTAATGTAAGTTTTTTCGGGATATTAGTAGTAAAAATAACTCATTATTTAATGACTTACAATGTTTTGGAAAATGTGGTAAAGAACGATCCTGAAATCCATCAGGGATACGACTTCCACTAATAATTTGTTGACCAACACATGCAACCATTTGAGATACATTAATTTTCGAACCTATACGATTTTAAAAATTGATTAGAATCGTGACATGATTTTGGTATGAGAAAATATTCGAATTATAGAAATGTATTAAACCTTTTGAACCACATGTTGCCATGATTAAAGGTGCATTATGTTTATTTAATTCAGTCATGCAAATTTGACCTGCATCATCACGAACTTTTGACAAGATACCGGATATGTGTGCCTAGAAAAGGTACGTTAATAAAGTTACAACAAGGACAATATATATATATGTGTGTGTGTGTGGTTCAAAATTATAAAAAAAACCAACTTCTAATGTTTGTTCCTCGTTACAACCAGGTTGATTATCTAATAAACCTGTTTTTGAACATTCAATAAGCTCATCGCATGCTTTGTTAGCTTCTGCAATGAGATTATCTTTTTTCTCTCTTAATATTTCTCCTGGTTGAACATCATCTATACCAATTGAAAAACCACAATTTGCTTTAAAATTAAACAAAAAAAAAATATTATTAATGATTGGAAACTAATATAAGTATAAAATTTATAACTGATTTGAAATTAAATGAAATTACCTAACCATCGAGAACATAATTTCGATAATCGATTCATCGCGTTAGCTGCTTCTAAAGGGCCATAATCACGAAGAATGGTATAAAATAAAGAATGTTTATTTCCATCTCCCACTAATGATTTATCAATTGCACCACACATAATTTCGCTGTTTCGTATAACGATATAACTGTCATTGGGGCACATGTCTGGGATCCGTCCTTCCTTTTTTTCAAATGAACGTCCCTTACTTTCAAGATTCACCAAAACAGAAGAACTTTTATTGGGACGCATCAATACGTTAAATATTTGTTTACCCGTCCATAATTTCAAAGGTTTAATAATAGCAGGAGGAGGAATATCAAAATGTATAGCAGCATCCGCCATGTAAGAACAAATTTGTGTGAATTGTGCTCGATTCAAGAAAACGTCCTTTTTAGTGATCAAATAAGAAGCAGTGATGAAGTCTTGAATGGCAGCAATGATTGGGTCACCATTTCTAGGTGTCACCAAATTATTCTTTACTCCCATTAATTCTATTGCTTCAACACGTGCTTCCTCAGTCTGAGGAACATGAAGATTCATTTCATCCCCATCAAAATCTGCATTGTAAGGAGTACATACGCATTCGTTGAAACGAAAAGTACGCCCTGGCTTAACACGAACCTGTAGATGATTGAAGGAAATAGTTAAATTAAAGAAAGAAACACCATCCCCCCCGAATTCATTTATTTAAGCTAGCAGGTACTTTACATAATGCGCCATTATACTTAGTTTATGAAGAGAAGGTTGCCTATTAAATAATACAACATCCCCATCACTTAAATGACGTTCAACTACATCACCAATTTGCAATTCAGCAGCGCATGCATCTCTTGCAGATTGATCAGCGTATTTAAGATATCTGATTAAAAAATATAGATACATAATAAATAAATAAATATTTTAATTCAATTTTAATTAATTAATTAATTATTTATTTATTTAACTCATTTAAGTAAAATACCTTTTCCCTCCAGATTTGTTCATAACAAAATTGGCACCAGGATGAATATCTGCACCATTCATTATACATTTACGTAATTTACCAATGTTATGTGCAAATACTCTTTCTGGATATGTTAATATCTTTGAGACCAATTCCGGGACAGCAACCTCATCGATACGTAAATTTGGATCTGGTGAAATAACAGTACGACCGGAAAAATCAACACGTTTTCCAGACAAATTCCCACGAAATCTACCCTGTTTCCCTTTTAACCTTTGACATAAACCTCTACTAGGTTTAACTCCCTATTAAATTTTTAGAATTAAGAAAAGTTAAGTTTAACTTAAAACTATTAATGAGTAATGATATTTTGTTTTTTTTTAAAGTACTTACCGCCATATTACTCAATCCAGGAAGTTCACTATTAATGTACATAGCGACTGTTAATTGTAAGTAGTCCCATTGTTCCTATTTTTTTTTATTTTTATTTGGAGGACATATTGTAATTAGTTATATTTTGTTTATTTTATATATTTTGTATATTAATTATATTTTGTATATTTTGTAATTCATTTAATATTAATCATAAAAAAGAAATTACCATTAATTGTGATATAGTAACACCTTTATTCAATGCTGCAGTTATATTGGTATTCGTTTGAACAATTTCAGATAATTTCACTGTCAAATCATCTTCTGTACTGTAAATATTGAAAAAGAGTTGGACCATTTAATTTTCTTACAAAAGAGAAAGTAAAAGAGACAGCCTAAAAAAAATTCAAAAGCAGGTTCAAAAGTGATGATAGATAAAAAGAAGGCATAAACCTGCAATTATTAAATTATGCAAATAATATTAACCTTGCATTATCCTGAGCAATTGATGGACGAATTGCTACGGGAGGTACAGGAACACGTTGCCATATTAGAAGTTCTGGTCTCGCATTTTGTGGATCTAATCCAAGTAATTCGCAATCCTTTTTTTTTTTTTTATGTATTTAATTAGACAATATTACAATATTATACATAATATTTTTTTGGTAATTCGAATTTACATGTGATAAACTGAAAAAATGATTTCAAAAATACCTCGTCGGATATTTTCTTAAATAAATCAAGTACTTTCATAGCATTTAAATCTTCTTGTGCTTTATGTAAATGTGCTTTCAATTCAGGGGTGGTTTCAACAGCATTGACAAAGGTATTTTTAAACCTTTCTTGTTCATCTTGAGCTTTTTTTGGTTTGTATTTTTCATGTACGATTTTAAGTGCTCCTACTTTTTTTACAGATCCATTAATTCCTTTACAGTATGGGCAATCCACCACCTTTTTACATGCTGCATTTATAGCCTTTTCAAGTTTTGTACGTGCAGCCGACTCTTTAGAACTTCTTAGACGTTTTAAATACATTCGTCGATCTACTTCTTCTAGTAAGACGCGACTACAAGTCTAATATTTTTGGATAATAAGGACAACTTAAAAAATTTATTAATTAAGGAACTTATCAAATATGGATTAATTACAATTATTTCAAACTTATTTACTTTGCAAATATTTTGTAATATATTAATGACAGCTTTAAAATATCCAATATGAAAAACTGGTAATATCAATTTAATATAACCGAAATGGCCAACACATTGAGCCATTTTTTCTCCACAAGTTTCGCATAAAATATCGTGATCTGAAGTACCCTATAAAACATAAATAATTATTAAAGGAAAAACTTGAAATTATGCTTATTGGAAAATAAGTTTATGCTTACTAAACGCGTATCTAAGACTCCATTTTCCATTGGTGCACGATTTTCATTGAAAAGATCACGATGTGTGATCGCTAGCTGTGAATTTTTTACGATCTCTTGAGGAGACAGTACACTGAATTGGATATGTTTACTATAAAAATGTAAAAACGTTTTTAATATTGTGTTTTAACGGATATAACATGAAAAAAAAATGGCAGAAATTTGTAAATATACTTGCATTCTTCGTGGAGCTGTTTCAGCAACTTGTTCTTTCATGTTTAATAAATTTAGATCTCGAGTAAAAATAAGCAGAAAATGATCAAAAAAACCCTCTTTTATAATATTTTGATTCTCACGTGAGTTATGATTATAATTGAGATGAAATCTTAATCAACTTGTATAACTTGCATTAACTTGCATTGACTATCATGACTATTAAATTGATTGCAGTATTACGTGGGGATAATCCAAGTATCAATGTCAATGGGATTATTACCTTTACTCAAGATAATGAACATTCTCCTACACTAATTGATGTAGATATCAAAGGATTAAAACCAGGAAAACATGGATTTCACATTCAGTTAGTATCAGATTGTTTAGATCTTTTCAAAAGTTTAATCATAAAAATCATAATAAATATTTCTAAAAATAAAAGCTAAATTTTTAATTCAAAAAAAGATCAAAAATTTTAATTAAGATAATTCTTATAAAAAATTAGTGAATTTGGAGATAACACTAACGGATGTACATCCGCCGGAGGACATTATAATCCTTTCAACAAGAATCACGGTGCTCCGGAAGATGAAAATCGACACGTTGGAGACTTGGGCAATGTTACAGCTTCCGCAGATGGCACAGTGAAAACTCGAATTATCGATAAACAAATAAAATTAAATGGTTCTTATTCAGTAATTGGGTAAGAATTGATTTATTCAATTATCTTCTCAAAATTGACAAAAATAAATCATTTAATTCATTTTGATCTTTTTATATTAATAGTCGAACAATCGTTGTTCATGCTGATGTAGATGATTTGGGTAAAGGTGGACATAAAGATTCTCTTACAACTGGGAATGCTGGTGGTCGTCTTGCCTGTGGCGTAATTGGTATATTTCAATCTAAATCCAAATTATAAAGAATTATAACAAGTTCGATAAATTAAAAAAAAAAAAATAATAATATATATATTTTTAACTAAGAACAAAAACAAAATTCGAATAAATGTATTTTTATAGTCAAAACATCACGAAAAGAAGAACTTTGAACAAAAATTATATGTATAATGCATCAAAAAAAAAAATAAATATTTGTCATTTTTATTTTTAATATTTTTAATATTTTTAATCGAAAATTTTATATCACACCGGTCGTGTTCTATACCGCAGGTGTTAGAGTTAGTGTTTTTCAAGGGTAGTTTATTTATCATCATATGTCACACAGTGTTTGAAATTCAATGTGCGGAATGTGCGCTAGCACAAAAAAAAAGGCATCCGCACAAATTTTTTGCTTATAGAATTCTAATTGTGTATATTTCGTACAGGATTTAAATTTTGAATTTCAAAAACTGGTGTCACACCCTTCGAATATCAATTTTTAATAGATATTGTGATTATAATTTATTATCAATAGATCATCTAACGTGAAATAATTTCTATCGCCTGGATATCATGTGTCTATTATTAAATCATGTGTTTTATTTTTATTATCGAGTACTGGTGTAATTTAGCAATGCCGTTTTTTTAAATGATCTTTATATTTTGAATAAATTTTACGCAAAATAATGAATTAACAAAATAATGGAAAAAAATGAAAATGAAAAATGAAAATGAAAAATGAAAATGAAAAATGAATGAAAACTTTCAAAAACTATAATAAATAATCATTATAAATAATTTTACTCGATATTATTATATATTATGATGTTATGATATAATAATGTTTTAAAGATGACCATTATGACCATTTTGACCATTTTGACCATTTCTTATGTATGCAGCATTATGAACAGCTTGAGCTCTACCAGATGGATCTTCGGGACAACCTTTTCATGAAATGAAATGAAAATAAATAAATAAATAACGATTAATTATGAAAGAAACATTAGAAATTTTAATGTGAATACATGTAACTTACCCCAATCCTTTTTTGGGATCCATAACTCAACACTTTCTGAAGAAGCTTCTTGCGGGAACAAACTTTCAAATTGTTCCCTATACCAATAAGCTTCTTTAGTACTAGGAGTATCCTTTGGCCAACGTTGTGAGGCATTAGCCATTAGTTCATCAGTAACATGATATTCTGCAGATTTTTTAAGAGAGTCGATCCATTCATATCCAACACCGTCAGAAAATTGTTCCTTTTGACGCCAAAGGATAGAATCGGGAAGATATGGTTCATCTGGATTTTCGATAGTTGAGACATCAAAAGCTTTACGAAGAATATACTTAAATAATAAAGAAGAAAAAAAAATTAATATCTTTTTTAAAAAAAAGAATTAAAAAGTCAAAACTTTAACATATTGAATTTTGGTATCTGTTATTTACCTTTTCCATTCTTCCCTTTCTGAACACCTTTTCATTTGGATCAATCATCATGGCTACATCAAGGAAGGCACTATCTAAAAATGGAACTCTAGCCTCCAAACCCCAAGCCATTGTTGATTTATTGGCACGTAAACAATCTGAAGTATGAAGATGCTTTACACGTGAAACCGTCTCTTTGTGGAAATCCGTAGCAGAAGGAGCAGCATGAAAATATAAATAACCTATAATTAATTTATTTAGAAAAATTAAAAAAAGTTTTAGTCAAGGTCATTTATTAAAGTAATAATTATTAATAAATTTAAGTTATTATTACCTCCAAGAATTTCATCACTTCCTTCACCACTCAATACCATTTTAACACCCATAGCCTTAATTTTCCTTGATAATAAGTACATTGGAGTACTAGCTCTAATGGTTGTCACGTCATAGGTTTCTAGGTGATATATTATATCGTGAACAGCATCGAGACCTTCTTGAATTGTAAAGGTATATTCATGATGAATAGTTTTAAGAAAATCAGCAACTTTACGTGCTGCTTTTAAATCCGGTGAACCGACCAACCCAACTGAGAATGAATGTAGAACATTTCCCTCTATGAAAATATAACATATAAGAAAATTTTAGAAATTTTTATCTTTTATAGTGTTCATAGAATTAGATAGAATCAGATAGAATTAGATAGAATTAGATAGAATTAGATGCATACGTTCGTCTAACTCCCCATTAATATTAGCATTCGTATCAAGTGTTTCTTCTAACAATTTTCTAGTTTCTCTTGATGCAATAGATGCAATCAGACTTGAATCCAACCCGCCGCTTAATAAAACCCCGTATGGTACATCACTCATTAATCTCTTACGAACTGCTTCCTCCAAAGTTTCTCTTAATAGTTTGTAATCGATAGGTGTGTTTGGTATAAAATTTTCATTCCACCATTTAGGTTCATAATATCTTGCGGTTTCTCCAGTTTCGGAGTCAAATACATGACCTGGTGGAAATGAAACAATTTTATCACATTCTTCATTAAGTGCTTTCAATTCTGAAGCAAAATAGAGAGTTCCTGGAGATGATGATGACCATCCTTGATAAAGAGTGGTAATTCCAATTGGATCCCGTGCCACAATAAGTCTGTTTTTGACTGTATCAAGGAGAATAAACGAAAACATTCCATCAAGTTTTTTCACGACTTCTTTTCCAATAGCAGAATACTTAATGTAAGATAATTATAGGATGTTAATTATTTAAATTAAATTCTCACCATAAATTAAATTTATTAAATTATTACCAAGGGAAGAATAACTTCACAATCTGAGTGAGTTTTGAAATTATAATTTCCTTTAAGAGTCTCTCTTAAAATTTTGTGATTATAGATTTCACCATTGACTGAAAGAATTATTGATTCATCTTCATTGGTAAGAGGTTGAGCTCCGGTATCTTTTTTTTATTTTTTTTTTTTAAAAAAAAAAAAAAAAGGTAATGAAAAAAAAATAAAGTTAAATTTTTAATGATTTTAATGAATCAAAACGAGAATGATATAAATGATATATAAATTAAAATTTTTTTTTCTTACCAACCCCAACAATAGCTAATCGCTCATGACAAAGAATGTGATTGCCTTTACTGATACAACCACTCCAATCTGGACCTCGATGCCTCAACCTAATCAAGAAAGAAATTAGCTACTTTATAGTGATAAATGAAAAAATCTAAAATCTAAAGATTTACTTTTTAGAAAGTAACAAAGCGCGTCGGCGAAAAGCCTTGATATCGTCGTTATAGTTGTAAACAGCGAAAACTCCACACATTTTCTAAAGACAAAAAAATTTTTTTGATCAACTTTTGAAATCATTTTTTAAAGACAAAATTATAAAAAGTTATAAAAAAAATTAGGTAATAAATCAACTTACATGATTTAAAAAGAAATAGATTAAAAATTAAAAATTTTTAAAAAATTTTTTTTTTTTTTTTTTTTACAAATTTCAAGAGAAGAATTTCAAGGCTTTATACGAAAATGAGAACCAGATTGATCATACTGATTAAATAATTAAGATAAGGAATCTTATCAATCATCAGATATCAAAATATCGACACAAATTACCAACAAATATCCATTCTCGATGAACAATACATGAAAATTTAACTGTACCACTAAAAATTATTGAAATAGAACCAAATTTATCCCTTTTGTTCTGGGTACCGACGGCAATAACTTGATCGATGCAATCTTAGTAACGTTTTATTAAGGAAATCAAAAAGCGGGTCAAAGATGAGGGGTTAATTTTATTTACTAATTAAGGACTAGTGCGGTACTGAGGTTCCCGAAATTTCAAGGGGGGAGAAACTTTAAATGATTATATATTTCAATCATATCAATTAAAGATTAATATATTAATATATCTTAATACAATGAATTGCGTCATAAGATTGTTCTATTTAAAAAACGGGTATTTTATTTTGCTGATTTGGATTTATTAATAATTTACATGACTCATTATTATGTTTATTATGAACACAACAATATAATTCTAGGTTTCATTATTTTTTTTATATAGGTAAGAGGGTTTCGGCCATATATGAAGTGTCACAGGCTCGGAAACGCTCAATGTATAATCCGCTGTATAACTTCGCCATTGGTATTCCATTAAGAAGCTATCTACTTCGGGAAGATCCATCGGATATTCGCGTATTATTTTGATTTTCATTGGCGCGTGATCTGTTTTTAAAAAAAATAATAAAGTTCACAATACACAATGTCTAAATTGTATTTTCTTAAATTATAAAAAATAAAACACAATAAAATGAATATATTTTACTTGTCCACGGTGACTGAGAAATATCTATTTGTGTCTTTAATTGATAATTATTATACTGAGTTGATATCAACCCAGATGTCGCATTAAAATGTTGAGTCAATGTCGTGGGATATAGCACATGGATTGCTATTGTATTCGGATCCTCGACATTTTGGATTGTTGCCTCGATATTTAGCGGAAGTGGAAATTGGGCCGGCCAATCGACGGGTTGATCTTCCGTATTTGGGGTCGGATGTGTAATGATCGCCTGTGAAGCCTTAATATTTTTGCTTATTGATATGTCGGGAATCTCGAACTCCTGTAAGGTCAAATCCAAAAGTTAGTATAATTTAACAATATTATTGTCATATAAATTAAAATAAAGTAAAAATGAAAAAAATTCGAACATATAAATATCTAAAGAATTTTATCATGGCTTCTGGATTCCAATCTTTGATAAAATTTTCGTGGTTATTCCGGACAATGTTGATCTGTCTTAATACAAACTCATGCCCCTCATATTTTCTAAAGAAAGAAAGAAACGAGTTATTAAAATATATCAATAAAAATATCTTAAAAATAATTATTCGTTACCTTTGTAAATCATCTAGTCGTTTACTGAAAGTTCCGATCACTATATCACGTTTATGTGTCGTGTTATTTCTGTAATTTCTGTGATTCAAAAAAAAAAAAGCATTATTGACGTAAATACAAAAAAAAAATATTTAATTTATTAAACCTAAAAAAAAAAACCAATAAGATTAATAACATACTTAATAGTGACATGATCTAGAGTAGCATACCACCAAATTATGTGGGCAATAATTCTTAATTGTGCAATAAACCCCAGAATAGATGAATCGAGGCCAAGATATCCGTATTCCATTTTATATGAAAGTCGCATTATTCTTGAACCTAAATCTGGTTTTACATCAAAAAATTGTTGCCTAACCTTGATTAAAAGCTTTAGGCATTTGAAATAATCGAGGCAAAATTTCGCTGTTCCGGTTATAGATGGTACATTCGAAATATATTTGATGTTCCTAAAACCGAAAAAATAAGTTTATAAAATAAATAATAAATAAATAAATATTATAAAATTTAAAAAGGTGTCCGATTATTTCTTTACCTTTTACAAGATTTTGTTAATTGGTGCACATATAAATAATCTCGCAATCTAAAAAGTCCAGCCAGCGAATGTACAAATTCTAAAGTACGTTCCATTAACGTTATAGCATAGTCTAAAACAAACATAAAAATTTTAAAATAGAGAAAATGAAAATAATTTATTATTCAAATGATATGTTAAAGAACATACTTTTGGTAGCTAAATGATCGATTTTGACCTTTTGTTTTTGGGATCCCCCCGAATTCTAAATAAAGAGAAGACAAGAAGAAAAGACTTTAATTTAATAAACTTTATAATACAATATAACATAATAATAAGCTCATAAACCATACATTGTTTTCTGGGAAGCAGTCAGGGAACCTAAGTCGAAGATATTCATAATGCCGATTTGCGTAATCGGGCAACATGTTGAGTATCTTCGGATTGGTCACCGAAGCATTAAATGCGAGAATCAGGTGACCAATATCTAAATAAATAAAATAAAATAAATGAAAATATTAAAATCTTAGTATTTTGATGCAAAGAAAATGGCAAAGAAAATAATAATGGTTGCATACGAGAGGGATCATTTTGCCTGATTTCCCTCGAGATATAACTGGACTCCATCCTGAAGAATCTCGGAACATAATGTTCTTAAATAAAAGAAAAACTTGATTAATCAAAATAATAAACAAATAATTGTTTAGATTAATAAGGGGGAAATCCATACCTATAAAGTTTCCGTGTGCGGACCCCACGGATTTGAAACATCGATATATTGATCTTTGATCTTCAGGATATCTTCTCATGCTCTCAATCATGGAATAGACAAATTTTGGTATGGATTCTTCTGACTTAAACTTGGTCACGCTGTAATAAAATATTATAAATATATTTTAATGGTATTTTAGATCTCAACATCTCAAATGGTGAATTAATGTGAAAACATACCTTAACATAGCATGAATTGATTCCCGGACCTTGTTATTCGTATCGTGTAGAACGCCGAAAGAGATATGAGCTTGTTCATAATCCAATTCGATTGGATATTTACTGCCAATTTTATGTAAACTATTAATTGAGTTTAATCGAACGGAATCGATTTCATCTTGGAACATCGCTAGATTAATGATGAAAAAAAAAATGGTTTAAAAAATTGAATCAAAATTTGATTCGATAAAAAATCAATCAAAATTCAAGAATTAATTACAAACTAAAGATTCGACAGCTTTTTTTGAAAATTTTTCGTTATGCATACATAATCGACACATAGAGTCTAATAAATAAAATAAATAAAAATTAATAAATAATTTTGATTAAGAGTTTACATCATGGTGAAAGAAATACTCACCGACTGCTGCATTTCGAACATCCTTATTTGAATCTTCCAAACCATGTATAAATGCACCGCAAGAACCGGATTTTACTAAACGCTGTTCTTCTACTAAATCTAAATCACCTTCGGGAGTTGGTATGAATCGAGCTTTTATTTTCTTTTTAATGTAACCAACGAAGCTTTGATTTTGTTTATTGTTCTTTCCTTGACTCCCTTGACCCCCTTGAATCCCTTGACTTCCTTGACCGATGATCTCTCGACTTAGCGTTCCTAATAATATATCTTCTCGAATTTTACGATAACTTCCTAGCATGATACAAGCCTATTTGGAAATAAGAGTTAACTTAAGTATTCCAAGATGAATTATGATTTGCAATGCTAATTTTTAATTCATTCCTCACCTTACTACGTACTCTCACCGATATATCGTAAACCATCTCACAAATTTTAATGAACGCGTCATCAAGTAAACGCTCTGTTTGCGGCGGTTTACCGTCATCTAACACGTAACCAAGATAATCTGATGGCTTGAAGAATGGGTAGATGGTACTTAAAATCCTAAAAAAATATATATATAACATATATATATATACAATATAAATTCAAATTCATTTTGTTTAAATGAACTCTGGCAAATGGATTTATAACAATTTCTAACCATATTAAGTTTAATGCATCATAGCGCACTTCTTCGTATACATCAGATAAACGCAATACACATAGTGGGTATAATTTTCTGTCAATTTCGCAACCACTTCGGTGAAGTTGAAGAAACGCCTTAAGTGTAGCCTAATTTGATAATTTATGTTAAAATCTCATATAAAAGTTAAATTAAATAAACAATGAGGAAAATAGACCAACATACACTCCGTATTCTCGCGTCTGGATCACTGCAATATACACTAATCGTGTATTGCCAATCCAAGATCTTCATCTCTGTTATTACATCTTTATATATCTCAAAATCTTTTATTTTTTCTTGTTCAATTTTATAACATATTGGAATTAATGTTGATAAAAAGCCTATGCATGCGGATTGAATACTATAATGAGAATCGCTTAAATCAAGAAGAGCGGTATCCCATATTATTTTAATCGTGTATAATAGTGATGAATCGAAATATATCGATTCAATCTATAATTCAAAATAAATTAAATAAATCTAAAACCAATGTAAAGGTAATAAAGTGAAAAATGTTTCGGACCTTTAAAATCTTCCGGATCGCATTATAAATAAGACATTTAAGCGCAACCGAATGGGGATTAAGCTTAAAATAAATAAATAAATAAATAAATAAATATATATATATATAGGTAATTTTATCCCATGAACATTATAGTACATATAATAAATCAATAATGAAAAAAATTATTCACGTGGCGACTAAAATCTTTGAGTATTCTGACACAATCATTGTTATTATAGAGTGCTAATTCTTCCATGAGCGCGATGGCGAGGATCTAAAATAATCAAATCGTTGATTTTTTTTTAGATTTCTATTAAATGATTCATCATAAGTAAATAACACCAAAGATGTAATATACCCTAACGTCTTCATCTTCAACTTCATTACAAAATATTTTTCTTAGCCGATTAAATAATTTTAATTTTTTAAAGTCATCCAAAACTGTGAGATATTTTAAATATTCATGCAATGCCTAATAATATATGTAAGAAAAAGTTTAGATTTGAAAGATATAAAAGAAATGATATACATAGTTTTATTAACAACACTTACATTAATTCTGGAATCTAAATCTTGTGACTTTAATTCCTTATATTTTACATGGAATTGTTCTACTTTTAACTATTTAATCAACAAAAAAAAAAAAATTTAAAAATTATTAATCAAATTCTTATTTCAAGAAGGTAGAAATTTAAATTTTTTATTAGAAAAATAATAAAATAACTTGCACTGACATGGTTTTCGCAAAATACTTTTTTGGATGCGATTTCAAATTCGTCATAAATCATCTGTTCGAAAGGATCAATACTAATTGGTCTCTTCAATGTAGGTGGTGGAGAAGGTGGGCGTGAGGTTAAAAATGATGCTGAAGGTAATTTATGAAGCGGAGATTGTGACCGGCTTAAAGGTGATCGCGAATGACGATGTAAAGGTGAACGCGATTGATGGCGTGAAAGAGGGGGTGACGGTGACGGGGAGGGCGTAACAGGTTCCATTTCAACTGTCAGAATATCGTCCGACTCAAAATACGAAGGCTCATAATATATTATTTCTTTTTCTTGAGAATTACTTTTTTCCTCTTTATGAGAATAATTATTTGTAGACGTAAAACAATTTTCACGAGAAGGAGAATAAGCTACACAACTCGATGAACTTGAATTCACGTATTCCATGGTTAATTGCTTCATTTCAATTAATAAAATGTGGTAATTGAGAAATGAGATAATATTAAAAACTTTATAAATTAAAAAAAAAAATTTAGTTACTATCTTGATAAAAATTGAAAAAACAAGTTTTTTTTTTTAAAAAAAACAAGGTGACAGATTTTAGGTGTGAATTTATACTTTCATTTCTAGTGGCTTAGAACTGATATGCAGTCGTACATTATTAAAATTCCTTAAAAATCAACGCGTCAATCCAAAATAATTCTCTTAAAAGAATGGCAAGCAACAAAATAGGACTTGAAAATATGGAAAATCCTCACGAAGAACAACAAAAAATGTTGTTAGGTAGAATTGTTTCGAATGTTGTAAGTTTTCAAAATTTTAAATCAGAATATTCAAGAATATAAGAATATTAGCAAGACACGTTTTTTATTATATCAAATACTTTTTTGAAATTATTAAATTACTAAATTTAAATAATTTCATTTCATTACACCTGCAAAATCGCGCTTGGAGTAATTTGTTATTTTTGAGTTTCCAATTAAATTCATTTCATTCAATTTTAATATTATTTTACTATTTATTCGATTCTTAATAGAAAAAACTCAACGAAGTGTTGGAAGATATGAACAGTCGTATACAAGTTTGTGTTATATATATGCAAAATAAATAATTTATTTAAAATTTTTTTTTTGCGATTCGTTATCTTCGAATCTCTTGATACCTCTACGTATCATTTCATATATATTAGAAAATTTAAAATTTCATATTTATTTAGGAAATCAACGAATACAACCGTGATATTGTCATTCTTTCACAATTCTGGTCAAATTATAGTAGAAATGTTACTTTTAATCTTGAAAGTATGGAAAAATTAATGGAACCAATGTAACTAAATTTATAATTGAAAAAATTAATTTTAAAAAGTTCTACAATAAATTATAATTTCAATTATAATAATAATTGTTTTTAAAATAAACAAACAAACAAACAAATGAATAAACAATTGAATAAATAAAAATTAATTTCTAATATTGTTTCTAATAAAATTATTTTTTCTAAAATTTTATCTAAAATTACAATTAGTTATTATATTCACAAAATTAAATTACTTCATAAAATAAATGTACTAATCTATATCTTATAAAGAAAGCCAAAAAACTACTTAAAACTTGTAAAATCAATACACAAATTGTCAATGTCCTTTCATTCATTGGCCCAAATTTTAATAGTATTAAATTCAGTAAAGTGAAATTATTAACTTCAATATAATCCAAATCTTTTTTGTCATATTTTGAATTATCATCATCAATGATCATTTTTTTATCATCATCAATAATCATTTTTCTATCATCATCAATAATCATTTTTTTATCAATATTGTTACTACTGCCAACATCATTTTTCGTAATTTTTATAAGTCCAAATGTTGAAAATATTTTTAAACTTAAAAGAGTTGGAAGATTTAAAGGTTTTTGTAGTTTAACCTTACTAAATTCCAATTTTCGTGTTAATGGATTGAATCTTTTTTTTTTTTTTTGAAAAAGAGAAATAATTAAATAAAATTAAAATATTTTAATAAATATTTTCATAAATATAATAAATAATTAATAATAATTAATAATAATTAATAATAATATAATTAAATACATACTTTGGCATTCTATGCCTTGGACACTCAACCAATTTAAATAATTGTGGTACAGAATAAGCAAAATTAAATATTTGTGGTATGAAAAATAATATCATTGTTTTACTAAAATGTGCAAGAATTCCAACAACTGCAAATGTCATTCCTGCAAAATAACAATAAGTATCACCAACAAATACTCTTGATGGATACCTAAAAATGATTATTAATTATTGATGAATTATTATTGATGAAATTATTGATTATTTTGATTATTAATTTGAGATGATGAAATTATTTGAATAAAACTTACCAATTATGCATAAATAATCCTAAAGAAACACCAATAAATGGTATTATGAAATATAATGAAAATAAATGAGCTTCTACTGCTGGATCTGATCCATTCAAAAATAGTAAATCATTTATAACAATTGAAATTGCTATTATCAATGATTGTCCTATTTCTACTCCATTTATACCTGCAAGAATATTTATGGAATTTGTACAAAATACTGCCATCAAACTCATATAAAAATAATATAAGTATCCTATTTATTTATATTTATTAAAATATTTATTATGTTAATTATAGAGTGAGTGAGAAATAAATTAATCATTTATTATAATTTTAAATTAAAGTATAAATTTACCTAAATCAATGTATTTTCCAAATAAAAATCTTAATGGAATAGGCAACACGATATGTGTTTCACCAAAGTTAACATAATATACCATTAATAATGGTATAGATGCGATAGTTGGTAATAATAATTTATATCTCCATCTAATGTCAAATAAATCATCTACGAATCCAAGAAGTACCATCGATTGTAAAGATAACATTGCTGATAAAAATTCTCCTAACTATTTTATATTAAAAATATTTAATAAAATATTAAATTTGAAAATTTGAGAAATAAATTAAAAATAAATTAAAATAAATAATACCTTGTGATGCGGAAATGTTAGTGAATGAAATTCTTCTCTTCTTGTAATAATCTTACCTTTGTCTGTAAACCATTCCATGAAAGGAAAGGGTATAAACAAAAATAAACATATTAAATATACAGTTGCGCATATAATTCCCATACTTTCTGGTCTATTTAAAAAAAATTAAATAAAATTTTTATCTAAAATTTATCGTGTTTTTTTAACTTTGAAAAAAAAAATGACATATGAAAAATTTCTACTTACACGACGGGTTTATTAATTTTATTAAAATCTTTTCCGGATAAATTTATCTTAATAAAACTTTCTTTGAGTTCCGGTATAAGTCTCCATGTTATCACACAACCAAGTAGTGAGAACCCAACTGAAGCAGACAAAGGATCATGTACGGTGTTAAAGATTATTATTAAGGCTAGTAGGATTAAGGATGTTAAGGTTAGTGAAACTGTTGTGGTTAACATTGAAAAGTTAATAGATTAATATTTGTTTTATTATTAATATGTGACTAAATGAATGAAATATGTACAATCTCGAAAAAGAATAATTTTCCGTGAAACACCATTTTAACTTCTTTTTTTTTTTTTTTTTGTAATTTATATTTTTATTGTTGATTTTTTTTGACACGCTTCTTAATATAATTGGACCTTTTCGCGTTTAAATAATTCTAATAATAATATAATATGTATGTATTACATAATATGTAATACGTAAATGAATTCATTTCGCGTGATCCAATTTTTTTTTATTATTTGATATTTTTAATAAATCAAAATCTTTTCAATTATTTTTATTCTATTTAATAATGGAATAGCATTATAAGGAAATAAATTATTATTAATTAAATTTTGTATACTTTGCCTTAAATTAACAAATAATTCAGTTACTCTATTCCAATTACTATTGATATCACTATTATTAATATTATTCTTATCCTCATCATCAAATTTTTTACATTGTAAATGAAATTCTTTAATATTATTTTCTAAATATTTACTATAAGTAAGAAAGAATTCTAGAAAAATAGTTTCATTAGAAATAAAAAAATCTAATAATATTGAATGATCAAAATTTATAGATTTTAAAAATCTCAAAAAAATTATATTTGGTGTACAATATTTTGTGAAAAACTCCAATTGATTAGAAATATTCTTTATTAATTGTCTATATATATTTTATATATATATTAAAATGCAATAAATAATATTTAATAAATTTAATAGATAAAAATAAATAAAGCACATATATATATACATATATAATACACATACCTTTCGTTATCGCTATTATAAATGATGAGTAATTCTTTAAGTTTTTTAGATTTGAAAGTTAATTTTATAACATAATTCATAAAATTCACTAGATCATCATCACTATTACTGTAAAAATTGAATATATATTCTAAGAAATTAAGTGATGGAAGAAATTCTTTATATATTTAATGTTAAATAAATAAATTAATTAATTGGTAAAGTTAAAATTAAATGATAAAGTTAAGTTAAATTAATTGATAATTTACCTTTATATAAATTCATTATTCTTGATAATACTTGTTCAATATATTCAATGGAAATATTATTATTAAGTAATCTTTCATTATTATTATTCTTCTTCTTATTCTTAATCATTATTATTATATCAGCAAGTGAAATAAATGCTGATAAATAAATATTAATTAACTTTTTAATAATCTCTAAACTTAATTCTTTTTCATTATCATCATTATTATCAATATCATCATCAAGAGAATTTTGATAATTTCTTTGAATGAATTCAGTATAATTATTATAATTATTGAAATCGAGTAATAAATGATCTTTACTATTGGGATGACTACTATTAGATAATATTATTCGGTGAGTATAATTAAGAATACCTGAAAGGCACTTAATTATCTATAATTTAATAAAAATTTATATATAATAAATATATTAATAATATCAATTAACATATTATACATTATAAAAACATTCTAAATATATAATATTATTAAAAATATAATTAAATATATAATATTATTAAATATACATTCTAAAATTTACTTACTAATTCAAAATTCTTTCTTGATTCAACAATTAAATTTAAAATATTCAAAACTTTCCTATTAATTGGTTGATATTTATGATTCAATAAATTTATAATCTAAAATAATAATAATAATAATAAATGAATGAATAAAATATTGTAAATATTGTTAATTAACCCATTATGTTCAAGAATTTCTTACACATAATAAATCAGAATCTATTTTTCCAGAAATATTTTCAATAACATCAATAATTATATTCATTATTCCATTGTTCTCTTTATTTTCTTCATGTTCTTTATTCACAATAAATATTTTTTCCAACTTTTTTATATCAATAAGAACGGACAAACTAGAAATATAAATTCTATCATAATTATAATTATTATTATTATTTGGAATCATTTCTTCAATTAAAAATCTCTTATTTAAAAAAATTAATAATTGAATTCCTGCATGTTGCTTAAAATCTTCTTCTTTTTGTTGCTTATCATCATCATCATCATCATCATTTAAAGAAGAATTATATACTCGCTGTCGAAATTCTTTTAAAATTTGATGAAATATTTCTTGAATTGTACATATTATTATTACAATTGTATTTGAAATATTTGAAATATATGAAGTATTTGAAATATTTAAAGTGTATAGTAAATTGTTTGTAATAAATGTAGAATATAAATCATATAATTTTGTGAGTAAGTTCTTTTGTAGCTCAATTACATTCAATTGATTGAAATTAATCTAAATAAATTAATTAAATTAAATTAAATTATTAATAATAAATTAAAAAATATTAATAATAAATTAAAATATTAATGATAAATTAAATAACTTTCTCTCAAACCAATAATAATAACAGTAACAATAATAATAATAAACAATAATACCTTTTTATTTGAAATAAGTAATAACCATTGAATTATAAGTTTTTGACAAATATAAATCACAAATTCATTATCAGTCTTTAAAAACTCTACCAAAATTAATTGATTTTTTGCTAAGATATTACAATAAAGTAATTCTTGTTTATTGAAAATAATTTTATTTTCGTTTTGATAAATAATTATTAATCTTTTATGAATTTTACATAATCTGTTTAATAGAAATTTTGAATATTCCGAATTATCATTATTATCATTATCATCATTATTATCATTATTATTGTTGATGTATTTTTCGGTTTCATTGTTCGCTTCCTAACAATTAAGGTCCCATTTATATCCGTAAATTATACACACAAATAAATATATATATATTTAGATATTAATCTATTTATCAAGATATATGTTACTTTCGCTTACTTTAAAAAAATCTTCTAATTTCTTAATGTGTAAAGTTGTTATTTGTGTCACGCGCATAGAATATTTGTAATTTTGAATTTTAAAAATATTTTTTGAAAGAAAAATATCGTTTGTTTTGTTTTTCTGATTTGATTGTCAAACAATATAGATTGTGAAGTAAATCATTTCATTGATAGCTTTCCTTTCCAGGAGATGATTTACAAAACATGAATCATTATTGTTAAATAAAGTTTAATTATGTACACATCAACTTTATTTCTATTCTGTATTATCACAATTATTATTATTATTAGAAAATCATAAGTCGAATTATTCACATGGAATCCCTTGTTTATTTTTTTATTATTTTTACTTTTTAATATTTTTGCCAAGGAACTCGGCATTCATTTTGTTCTATTATTTTACTTTTCCTTCTTTAAAATAATTCTCCTGAATCTCCCCGTTGATTCAAACAATAAATTGTCATACTGAAATTTTAGAAAATAAATAATCATGTGATACCTTTTCTGCCCTTATTTAACAAAATAAAATAAAAAAATTGAAGGGAGAATGTCACATTGTCACACGCACACATAATAAAAATTTTAATAACTCCTAAAATATATATATATATATATTTAAATAATTCGAAAAAATTTTTTTTATTCAGATCAATAAAAAATTTTACCCTTATTTTCACATCGAAAGATGTCATCTACACGGAAAATTTCAAAATCCCCATTTCATAAAATTAAAAGGCTTGAGATTTCGAATATAAAATCTAGTTGGTAAATACCTTTCGATAATAAAAATTAAACCAATTTGAAATTAAATTAAATCTCTTTTTTTTTAAAAATATAAAAGTTCCAGTTTTCCAATGGCAAATAAACATAAAAATTTAAAAATAATACATTCTCATTCTTGTCAAGGGTAAATTTTTTTTTTTTTTTTTTGAATTTCAACAAATTGACCTTTATAATTTTTTAATTATCTATATTTATATACATATATAGCACATCGATGCAAATTGCAACAATTTTACTATTTGTAGCAATATCTTATAAAATTCCCAAACTTTACGAATATTTTCTATCAACACGACGCAAGAAAAATCAAACTGAACACTTTTCAAACATTGATATGAATATTTTATCGTCAAGAGAACTTACTTCTTCTAATTACGCAGCAAGTTATTGTTTTTCAATACATTATTGGTGGACATTTTTAAATGAAAAGTTTAGAAATTTATTTGATGAAGACGAAAATTCTATTCAGAATGAAAATTTTGAGAAAAATGAATATAGAGACAATGATTTCGATAACTTCAATAATTTTAATAATTTCAATAATGACTATAATGAGAAGAAAGAATGTCAAAGAGAAACCAAGTATTCTTATATTTCAAAATTAAATAATAAGGACAATGAGAACAATGAAATTATTAAGGATTCTTGTATTTCAAAATTGAATAATAAGAACAATAAGATTATCAAAGATCCTTATATTTCAAATTTGGACAAGAAGAAAACTAAAATTACAAAGGATTCTTATATTTTAAAATTGGATAATAGACTCACCAATGAAATTAATGAAATTAAAAAAATTAATCATAATTATAGTAACCATCCATTTTATTCACATAATGGAACAAAAAGGTCTAATTCTTCCGAACATATGGATCTCAACATATCTCATCGAACAAATTTATTATTTATAAATCCATACGAACGTCATGAAAATGATTTAAAACTTCGAACTTTATTAAAAAAAAAACATGATTCAGAAGTTGAGGTTGTAAAGAATTTAAAGAAAGCATTAATTATTCAAGGAAATCGGGAAGTTTTAGTAAAGAACGCTATCAGGGAAGTTGCTGTGTTAAGAAATAGGATAGATCGAGATTTTCGTCAATAACATAAAGAAAATTGATTTATATTATATATTATTGTGCAGAGAAATTGGTTTTTTGTAAATTTATTACCCCCCCGGAAATAGAACATTTTAAACATATTGAACTTTTTTTTTTTTTTTTTTTTTTTTTTTTTTTTATCACACATACATACTTGTAACAAATTACTCGAGGAAATATTTAGCTGTATATAATTTAAATTTGAATGTAAATGGTGATTATACGAAATATTTGTGATTATTATTTCTTTGAATAAAGAAATAACCTTATTTGATAATTTATTTTCACACTTTATATGAAATTATTGACGCTTAAGGAAAGAAGATGTCAAGAATTATAATTATGTTCGTTACCAATTTTTATATTTGATTATTATACTGATTATACTTGGTTATTATACACATGGTAAAAATTAAAAATTGCAATGAAAAACTTTAAAAAACTTTAAATTATGATTTTGTAACATAATGTCATCTAATATTATCGATAGAAAATGGAGTTTCGTTATAATGTCACTTCAAAATTTCTATTTCTTAAAAAAAAAAAAATAAACAACAATATTTTGCTTATATAGATATATATATATATATATATTAATAATGACCACTATAATTGCAAACATTGACCAACAACAACGACAATATTAGATTAATAGAACACGAAATTTTTACAATTTGCGTAGAACTTGTAAATTGTAATTACGGATGATATAATGTTTGGCAGATTAAGGTAATATGTCTTTGAAATTTTGAGCATTAATTTTTTGGTTATAATTTATAAAAAATAATGTTTATCGATTCGATGATAATCAGAAATTATTTTATCTTAATCTTTTTCAACCTTGAATTTGAAGAATTTCATTTCAAATTGATTTATGTGGGTCATAATTTCACTTTGGATTTTAATTCAGCAAAATGTAAAGTAATTAATGAAGATTATAAGAAAATATATATCAAAATGAAATGTCAGAAATGTCAGAATTTTGGGTTTGGAAAGTTGATGAAAAGAAATTTTTTTAGATTAGGTTGCGTTTCTTTGAATATTTAGATTGGATGAGAAGTCGAAAAATTTCTTAATCATTGACAAATGAAGTTGATAGATTTGTAGAAATTTCATCTCTTGGTTTTTTTTTTAATGTTTAATATTGTTGAAATTTCTTGTACGCTTTATAAATTTTATATATTTTGATGTATGAAATATGTGAATGTTTATTTTCTTAGAACAAGTAATTAATGACAAGAGATATAAAAGAAACATAAATACAGAAATATATAAAGTTAATAAACATAAATATAAATATATATATAAAGAGAAAAGATAAAATTTTATAAATTATTTTCATATTCTTTACAAACTACTTGAAAAACTTCATAATCTTCAGCCAAAAATTCACTATCGTTAAAAATACTTTCTTTATAAGAACCAATTTCGCATTTCCAACTTCTTTCATCATTTAACATATGTAAATCACTTTCACCAAAACAAGGACCATTATAATTTGATAGATAAATAGCTCTATTTACATAACAAGGTTCAATTCTACTTAATTTAGAGGAATTTAAAGGAGATGAGGTGAAATTAAATGTGAATAAGAAACTATCGGATGTTTCTCTAAAATTTTGAATGTTGAGAATATTTTTATAATAACAATTATTATCATTGTTGTTATTAATAAAAGTAGTAGTTGTTTGAAAATTTGAATCAAATTCTAATTGGTTTAATTGATTTTTTAATTGATTTATTTGATTTGGTTCATTTAATTGATTTATGCTTGAAGTTTGAGAACATAACGAAATTGATGAAGGTGAAGAAAATAATTGTAAAGGAGAACCTTCGTTAATTGAAGATTGCTCAATCTCATCATTGTTATCATAGTCATTATCGACAACATCATCGACATCATCAACATCATTGACATCATCGTTACAATCATCATCATAACAATCAACTTTATAATAATTTCCTTTTCCTTTGTTATTGTTATTCTTCTTTAATTCAATGAAAGATTCCCATTGTAATGGATTAAATCCTCCAACTATTTGTTCAGAATCTTGAATTTTAACAACTATCAATAAATTAGATTTACCATCACAATATTTATGAAAATTTTTTACAGAAAATCCATCTTTACTTCCTCTTAACAAGAGATTAAATTTATAAGGATTCATTCTTTTAAAATCATAATTATTATAATTCTTATCAATACAATTCTTTTCATTTTTTTTGTCTCTCCCGTCAATCCAATTCGTCAGAATAGTTGTATGACATCCATTAATTATTATTGAATCAATATATTCACAATGAATTCCTCTTGGTAACATTAAATTGGTACCAATACTTTCCGGATCCATGTGATATTGTAAAATGTTTTCATTAAGATCTTCGGATAAGATTTTTTTAAAGGGAGATCGAATTTTTTTGTAAAAATCTTTAGCAGAAATTTGATAAAAACGAATTAATGGAATACATTTTTCAAGAGTATTTTTTAGATCAGAGAAATCTTGATTTGTATATTGTTTGATATCCTTTTCAATAAATGAAGTAAATGAATGAATTGAATTTTTTGAATTATTTGAATTGGAATTGAAAGAATGTTGTGAATTAAGAAAAGGAGGAGATTCGAGAGAATTAGAAGATTGGGGAGAATTTGGAATATATGAATTATCTTTTTTTTTTCTAGTATTTACAATTCCCCATTTAATCATATATTCCCAAATTTTAATTTCTTCTATTTCTAAATTATTTAATTTTAATAAATAAATTAATACTGATTCTTTTAAATTCACAAAGTCATTTGATTCGAAAAGAATTGTAGGAGAATTACAAATGATTTTTAAAATGTAATCCCAAAGTTTTTGAAAAGGATTTTGAGAAAATGATGGAAATAATGAATTTTGAGAATTAAGAAAATAATCATTATTGTTATTATTATCATTTTTATTTTTATCAGGTTGATATACGATATGAAGAGTTTTGACAAGATTCTGATGTAACCAAGTGGATTCATTTTTTATTAAATGATCTTGAACGCATGAAATTAAAGTTGGAAGACAAAATTCGTTGGCAGTAACAATTAAGTCAAGAATATCTGATGCAAAATATTGACTTAATTGAATACTTCCTGTATATATATATCTTTTTTATTATAAAAAATTATTTTCATAATTAAATAATAGAATGTTTAACTATAAATAAAATTAATATTAATCAAGAAAGACATTATAATTACTTGATAATTATTTCAAAAACTTTAACATTCCCATTCGGCTTTTCAATAATGAATTCAAAATTATTTTCTTCATTCTCAATTTTCTTTTTTCCGATTTCCTTATTGATATCATCATCATTATTATTGTTATTGTTATTGTTATTATTAATTTTAATTTTATTATTAATGTTATATTCATTATTATTTTTTATTAAAATATTACGAAAATAAAGGGATCTCGCTCTTAGAATAACTGAGTGAACTTTAAAATTTCTTAAACGAAGACCTTGACCAACTTGAATAAGAACATCATAATCATTACTTGACTTCAAATGCGTGTGTAAATCTGTAGATAATTCTTGTAATAAATATTCGGAATTTATGGATGTCATTGTTACAGATAAAGTTTATTTTTAAGGAGATGAGAAATAAAATACTTTATATTACATCATCCGATCTGAATTACTTTATTATATATTTTAACCACATTTAATTTAACTTTGTTAAGCTATAAAATTTCCAACTTTACAAAAGAAGATACATATCATATTATATATTCGGAAAGTAATTTATACTGATTAATCCTCTTTGAAATCATCAGGCATGCATCAATAAACTTTTTGATCATAAAATTTAAAATTTTTTAATTTTTAATATCCGATATTTTTTGATCAGAAACAATTGATGATATCCAATGATTACTCGATACGTTTGAATTCATTAATGATCTACACACTACATGAATGACTTATTACATTAATAACTTGATTTAATTTTTTTCTTTTCTATATTTCTTCTAATAATTCTAATAATCTAATAATAATAATAATAATAATAATAATAATGAATAATCTTCCGGATCAACTTCTTGGTATTTCAATGGTTATTGGACCTGTGCTTGGCTATTTTGATCAAATAATAAAATTTCGAAAGACGAAATCAAGTGCTGGATTTTCTTCGGATACTTCTGGAATTTTATTAGTTAGCAGGTTATTATCTAATAAATTTAATTATTTCTATATCTTTCTATATTTCACTTAAATTACATATATATTTTCATGGAATTTAGTATCATTCGTGTGTTCTTTTGGTAATTATCAGTTTCCAAATATTTTTAATATTTTTTATTTTAATGGATAATTGACTGAAATATTCGTAACAACAACAATAATAATAATAATAATAATTTAGGATAGGAAAAAGATTCGATATTATTCTTCTTTATCAAAGTATAATGATGATAATTGCTCAAACATGGCTTCTTCACGAATGCATCAAATATCGATTTCCTTCTTCTTCAATTCATAATCGAAAACGTTGGTTTTGGAATTGGCATACATTTACTCCGTATATGATTTGTTTGGCTTCTGTGATTGTATTATCAAGTGGTTCCTTTTTTTTTTTTGGAAATCAAAATTGGTATATTGAAATTTTAGGTTATTTGGTAAATACTTATATTCTGTTTATTATTCTATTTATTTATTTACATTCTACACTCACAAATAGATATTATATACTCACAATGATTTCCATTTAAAATAAAAATAAAATAAAATAAAAAAAAAAAAAGGCACTTGGCATTGAATGTACAGTTCCTATGCCACAAGCATGGCAGAATTATCAGAATAGATCTGTTGTAGGATTTAGGTATGTGCAATTATTTATATTTATAATAACTTAAATTATTAATATTAATAATTACTTGTATTTTATTTATTTTCTAATATAATAATTTATAATGCAATAATTTGCTAAAAAAAAAAAAAAAGTTCAATAGTTCTTATTACTTGGTTTATTGGTGATGCATTCAAAACTTTTTATTATACATACACAAAAGCACCACTTCAATTTATTCTTTGTGGAATAATACAATTATGTGTAGATAGTATTATAGTTTTTCAATTTATGACTTATAATAAGTCTACTCATTTATTTTAATGCATATTATTATCAATAAATTTAATTGGAATAAGATTTCATTAAATTTGTTTTTTACAACTTTGATTGTTTTATTAGAAAAATGAGATAAAGAAAATAAGATAAAGAAAATATCTTTTAATTTGATTCTTCTTTTTAAATAAAAGGCTTTGGCGTTGGATAATAATAAAGAATATACTCATGCACTTATAAATGATGTTATTTCTGCATTATGGAATCAGCTATCTCCAATTTTAATTCATCTAGAAATATTAATGAAACAAATTCTAAAGAAAAATTATATGGTATTTTATATTGCCTACGTGTTTAACTATATACTAAGGCAACTGACGTGTTAGTTTTGGTATAATGGCGGAAAACGATTTGCAATATGGTTGCGCCACAATGCTATATAAAACTTGAGAAAATCCTGGTTTAAAAGGCTCCAGATTGATATTCTCTTTTTCTTTGGGATTTGGGAAAATTAGCGGTAAAAGATCAAGAGGCTCACAAAATAAATTAAATAAATTGTACTTAACAAGATAAATTAACGTATAATAAAAATAAAAAAACTAATCTTTAACTGGGGTTAAGAATTATGTAATAAAAATATTTCCAAATCAACGTATAATAAAAATATTTCCAAATTAAAAATAATTGTTTTATTGTAACACGAAAATAAACTTTACATAAACACTTTTGAAACTTTTATTTGATATCAAAATTTCAAGAGAATTTTTTGACTAACCTACAAAAATGTTCGCAGAAAATCTACAGAATTTGCTGAAATAAGATTAAAATTTTTTGGAACTTGTTCTTATTGTAAAAAATTTAACACAGCCGTTGGTTGGTGTCAAACTTGCGACTACGCGAAGAGTAAACCAAGGTCCTATGAGTGGAGTTAAAGAGTTAGATGATTTTCTTAATGAAATTCAACATAAGATTACTACTTATGAAAGTGTAATTGAATGGATTCCCTTTGAAAGATTAGAAAATTTAAAAGAAATTGGAAAAGGAGGTTTCAATACAGTACATTTAGCAACATGGATTGATGAAATAAGAACTATCTCAGCTGACTATAATAGTAAAAATTTTGCAGTAAAAAGAGTATCAAATTGTACTGTAACTCTCAAAATTTTAAATAACGCAAAAAAAACCCAATCATGAGATAATGAAATTAATATATCAGTTTTCTTATTATTTAACTTTAATCTCATGTTAATAGTTCAAAACCTATTGTAATTGTCAGTAACTGAACAATTGATTTAATTATTTGTAAATTAGGTAAATTAATCGACATTACTGAATTGACTTTTTTTTTATTTACATCGGTGGCGATCAATGACTTCAAAAAATTTTTTTGGTTGTATGCAAAGTGTTATTTATGCTACAGGGGACAATAACTTTAACCGGAAAAGGTTAAATTCGAATAAAATTTTTCATTCAATAAAATAATGAACCTTTATTTGGTAATATAATATTATAGGCTATTAGTATAATGAGTCATTATTTTAGATAGCGTCCACAAAGTGAACACAGAATTGGTTAAATCAAGAGATCAAAGATTTATTTTTAGAAATAAATAAATGAAAATGTTTGGAATTCATTACACAAATATTTACATAATAATTTTTCACTTTCGAAGAACAAAAAAAAAATACATATATTAATTATCATTATCAAAATTATCGAAAAAAAAAAAAATGAAAATAGTCAATTAATAAAACGGGGGGAAAAAAACTTGTGAAAATTCTTTATTCTTTTCTGCATAAATGTACGGCAGAACATATACAATCGATGCAGTTTGTTATACTTCTATAAACCAAATAAGTGTATGATTTGTTTGTATCAAATAGTTTTCCAAATAATTTAAAATATTGAAAGTATATAAATGTGAGAAATTCTCATTTCTTAATTTGATATAAATAAATATTTCATAATAAACATATTAACAAGATCCAAAACAAATATTAAAAAAAAAACAACATATAAAGATATTTAATCATCTTTGTATATTATCTTTAAAATGAGTTCTTCACTTTTTGGTTCTCTACAAAATGTTATTACCCCGGAACAACAGAACATAAAAACATCTTTACATAGCAAGAAACCATCACTAAAATTAAAAGTATCTAAAGTATCTGAATTACTTCCCCCAGAATCTACTATAAATTATCATCCTCCCACTGAAGGATGCGCTTCTCCTATGATTGTTGGCCCTTCATTTTTATCACGTGGAAAATCAGTTAGTAATTCTAATGATAATATCGGTCTTCCAAAATCAAAATCATTTAAAACTTCATTATTTCAAAATCCACAAGAAGTTGGTCTTCATAATGATGATGATATCTCACCAATTTATGATGACATAAAATCTAGAACATTATTAAATTGTACTTCATCTTCTCAAAAATATAAAAGCAATTCACATTCATCTTGTGATGAAGAAATTTATAGTCCTCAAATATCAACCCCCGTAAAGGTACCTTTACCAATATATTATCAAAATTTTTCAATAATGGAAGAACTTTTTGATCCACATGAAGTAACGAATAGGAAAAGAAGTGATTCTTCAGCATCTAATTTTTCCGTGTCATCAACAACATCAACAACTTCAGGAATATCATTACATTCTTCATCTTTGTATACTAGTAATATACCACCATTATGCTCTTCATTTAATGATTATATTGGAGAATCAATCTATTCAGAAAATAATTTAAGGCAATTATTGTATAAATACACATAAATCATCATAATGTAAATATTTATTATATTTATTATATTGATTCTATAATTATATTATAATAAATGATTTTAAATTTTGTTTTATAAGAATAATAATTACAAGACTAATTATAAAATGAAAAACGATAGTTTAATAAATTTTCAGCTTAAAAAAAAAACTTATCTTTAAAATAAATATTATAGTGAAGAAAATTTATTTAACAAAATGTAAAAAGAAATCCCAAAGTCAATTCATGAATGAAAATCTAAAGAATTAATAATGCTTAAGGAAATCAAGGATTTGCAGATATCTTATCCGCTTCATCAAATTCATTTTTTAATTTTTAACTCTTCTGCTATTAAATCTTCTAACTTTTGAAATAAATATTATACCAATAAGCAAAAGTTGATCTTAAATCATCAGTTAATGGTCGCTTTAATGGATCAATATCTATAAATTGAGGAGTTCTCTTTGCACATAAAGGTCTCTCAAGTTGAGGATGTTTTCCGTCAGAGATTTCTGTCATTATTATACCAAAACTATATATGTCAGCTGCTCTACTAGAATTTATCACATGAATAATTTGAAATAACTGGTTGTATGCTTTTATCTCTTAGGACTATTAAAATGTTACCACTATGAAGAGATTGATAAGTAAATCCTGTCAAATGGTTATTAGATAAATCGTAAATAATATCTATAAGAAATTTAAGCTTGTCTTTCCAAATTATTAATTTTTTAGCTAGATAATTTCAAGATCGCCAAACTCTGAATATTCAAAAATTACATGGTAATTATATTTCTGATTATTCTTAAATGATGTTGTAATTTGTCTGTTTTTACTTGACAATTACAATAGGTTTTGAACTATTAACATGAAATTTAAAGATAAATAATAAGAAAACTGATCATTATTCCCCGTTTTACTAATTGTTGGTTAACGTGTTATTTTGGCAATAACTTAAACTCAGCGCGGAAATAGCTTCCAGCCGTACAATTAGTAAAATGGGAGAATAACGCATTTATTCCCCCGCTTCGCAGGAAATAAATAGTATTTATTTACATAAATGAAGAAAATCATTTGGGTTTTTTGCATTATTTAAAATTTTGAACAAAATTTTTACTATTATAGTCAGCTGAGATAGTTCTTATTCCATCAATTCATGTTGCTGAATATGCTGTACTGAAACCTCCTTTTCCAATTTCTTTTAAATTTTCTAATCTTTCAAAGGGAATCCATTCAATTACACTTTCATAAGTAGTAATCTTATGTTGAATTTCATTAAGAAAATCATCTAACTCTTTAACTCCACTTATAGGCCTTGATTTATTCTTTGCGGGTCGCAAGTTTGATACCAACCAACGGCTGTGTTAAATTTTTTACAATAAGAACAAGTTCCCAAAAAATTCTAATCGCATTTCAGCAAATTTATCATCATCTCATCTGTAAAATTTCTAGTTTCTGACATCACTTAATAGGTTGTAAATATCAAAAATGTGTTAACAATTTTAAATTTTTTTTTCAATTAAGTAAATTTGAATAAAAATTACCTTGTAGTTTTTTAGGCAGAAATGTCATAACGAATGAAGATTTAATCACTATTAGTTATAACTGCAAAAAATTGATTTTTTATAAAATTTATTGTCCAGAGCATAACGTAGAAGATAAAACTATCCCAAGTAGAATTGTTAAATGGAACATAATGTTCTAGAACAAACTCGGGCTATGTATCACTTCATTATGGAGTGGGTTAAGATTTCTAATTTTGTAGCAATTTATTTATTATAACCCGGGTTTCTTTATGGAGTAATAGTACCCGACGGAATATATATAAAATCGGAAATAATTGTCGATGGTCGCTACATATAAAATTTTTTATTTTAATAAGTAAATGTCAAAAATAGTACTAAGTAATCTTAAATACAAGAATTAATTGCGTATTATATTTAAAAGACAGACCTATATAATCAAAATTGAGAGAAAAACTAGCGGTTAAAATTCGAACGGACGAAAAAACTTTAAAATAACAATTGTTCGCTCAATTTTGATGATCCTTTAAATATGATACACTTATCTTTTAGGTTACTTAGTACATTCATTTATAATATAAAAAGTTTTATATGTAGTAACAATCGACGATTTTGTTATTGTTCTCTTAATTTCGATGATATATTCTGTTCGTTTTATATAATACGTAATTAATTCTCATTTTTGTGATTACTTAGTACGTTTACTTATTAAAATAAAAAGTTTATATGTAGCAACTATCGACAATTATTTCCGATTTTGTCATCAATACGTACAAAATCTTGGAGTGCTCTTTGTTGTTAAGGAAATATCGGGTGATTAATAAGGTTTTTATAGGTAAAAAATTCAGTCCCCCAGGATATTTGGTGTGAAGCGGGATATTAAATATCCTACCCTAACCCTAAATATCTATAGAGTACCCTTGAAATTTGTCCATTTATAAAAATTTACGTACAAATCTTGAGGTGTTCTTAGGGTAGTTTCTAAATAATAAACGATATGTGATCTGCAATGATGTAGAATTTTAATTTCAAATTTATTAACAACGAATAACAATAAATAAATCACGTGACCAATCCTCGAATTTCAGCCGTTTTTGATAGATATATGGTTATTTTTTGATAGAGTAACTAAATATGCATTGTCATATGATTTATAGAACAATAAATCATGTGAACTTCGAACAAAAAATCAAAATGATACTTTTGCCCATATAAATTTAAGAGATGCATGGATTTATCAAGAGTAATGTATTTATCATTGGAACAGAGAATTTTTTTACAATATTCGTCACCGGCGCAAAAGTTTCATCTTTGATAGACTTATGGTTATATATCAAGATACGCGTCATTTTTTTGATAGGCCTTTAATAATTTATTTATAGGTGCATCAAAAAGATAACTATTTTGTCACATAAAAATTGGATATCTCAAAATAACTATAGATCTATCAGAAACGAAATCTTTGCGTCAACGGCATTTGTCACATGAACATAATATTATGATCACCTGATAAACTATGGACCAAGTTTTATTGACCCTAAACCAGGGCTGAAATTGATGATCAGTCACGTAATATTTGTTTTTCAATTAAGCAATAGTTTACAATTATGTATAATTACAGTTAAAAATAATCGCAAAATGTCTTCACTTGAAAAAATTTCTTGATGATAAATATTAATCAATCCGCTTTGAAAATAAACCCTTTTGTCAATAAATATAGGAGAATAGAATAATTAAGTAGATCTCCCATCTCCCTTTATAATTTTTACAATTTTTACAAGAGATATTGAAAATATGAATGATATCTTACACGTGAAGAAAAATCATGAATTCTTTTAGCACGTGATCGATCTAATTTTGATACCTCGCTTATTTATAACACAAAAAAAAATCTATAGCACAAAATCAATGTCATATAAACTGCTTTATTAATATAGAAAACGCCAATTCACAATGATTTATATTCACACACTATATTTATAGATTATTAATTACTACTCATACGAATATTTAAACACTTGTTCTTTAAAACAAGTGTCTCTATAACTCGAACAAAGATACTACCTTAATTATTACCTCTCACAAAAATTTGGCATAATGACTTTTTATCGAACAAGAGTTTTTCTCAGTTTCATTAATAAAAGAAATTCTTTGTTAAAAAAAAAATAACATAATATAAAAAGTGGAAAAATTCCTTTAACTTTTATAACGTGACATGGTGTACGTTACGTTTACTGATATTTATGCGTGCCACGTTGTATGATATCTGATTTTTGATTTTCAAAGTATTATTACATTTGTTGTCTGGATTATTTCAATAAAATCAAATGTTTCAAGAATTTTAACTGTGAAAATTAAATCTTTTGATAAAAATTGTAAGCAAAATAATTTTATTCTTTTTTTTCTAAAAAATTATCTAAAACGTAAAAGATGTACTTTATGTAAAAATTACCCGAAGCAATATAGTCACATGTAGATTAAAAATTGTTGGAACTTATGCACATAATTCTTTGTATTAATTAATCATGCATAAAATAATCTAAATTTTGTCAATCCCATAAGCAAGTATTATTTGAGACGCTGTTTATAAAAAAAAAATAGCATAGCATAAATTCATTTTTATTGCTTCCTTTGATCAATAATATACGCAGATAAAAGATATTTAGGAAATCAAAAAAAAAATTAGAATGATGCGAATGATTGGCTAGAGCCAAAATAGATTCATATGGACTGAAAAATGACATTTTAAGCTAGATTTTCTTCCCAAAAAAACCCTTTTCTATTTATGCGAGAGATATAAATACTATAGAAAACCCCAGATAAAAAGAACAAGCATTAGATTTTTCCTTTATAAATATAAACAAATAAATGTCATTGTAATTGTTTCTCAGTCATGTGATTAATTATTATTTACTTTAATTAGGAACACTAATAAAACATTACAGAAGAAAATTAATATATTTACTAATTTATTTAATTATTATTATTATTTATATAATTATTATTATTTAATTTTTTATTGCAACACCGAAACTTCTATTTTCTGCAATTTTCACATTTTTCCATTCATAAATTCCTTTCTCCCATACAAACATCATTTCCTTTTCTACTCAGCCCGTATAGATGGTTATATCTACGGCTAGTAAAAATTCATATTTTTCGCTTGGTTCTTTTTTGTTTTTATGCCTCCCACAACTATTAATGTTTTTATTTTAACACAAAAAGATATATAAAAACTTTTTATTTCATCCTATTAAAATTATCTTCATTTCTTTACAAAGTGTATATATAAATATTGTAGGATTTCGAATTATCAAAATAGAACGGACCAAACTTTTTAACAATTTCAATTTTTTTTTATTTTTTTCAAACTCAAACAATGAGCGTAAATATTGATAACTCTGGAATTTTTTCAAGGCTTCAGCTTGCAAGAGCCCTCAAAGAAGATCCGAATAATCCAGATAACGACCCTCCAGAAAACAGTGCTATTTTTTTACGTCAACGTGCAAGAAATTCTCCAGCACCTACTGGTCACTTCTACATACCACGTCCGGCAAATTTGCTTACTCCCCCCATTTTGGCTAAACTTGAATCGCCACAAAATGACCTTCAAAACCAAGGAAGAGGTTTACAGCCAACACCAACTATTACAACTAATAACTCTACTGCTTTCGATGATAGGCGTTGCAGTCTAATTGGAAAACCCGCTACATTGTTGGATGTAAGAAAATCAATGTTGGATACCCGACAAAGCATTCACAATATGGTACCATTCTCGCCAGCTTCTAGTCATAGAACTTCTTTAATGCTTCAACAGCATAAATCTCTCCCCGGTATGTATTCTAATATATGTATTTTATGCGTCCAATCTTTCGTCACGTGATACTTATTATTCATGAATATTTCTATAGATTTATCCACAACCGCTAAACAATCTCATAGATTAAGCAATTTACCCATAAATAATTCTAATTCTCGACCAAGTTCATCTCACAATCCATCTTCACGTCCAACCTCATCTCTTAATCCATCTTCACGTCCAACCTCATCTCTTAATCCATCTTCACGTCCAACCTCATCTCTCAATCCTTCTTCACGTCCAACCTCATCTTATAATCCTTCTTCACGCCCAACTAAATCAAAAAAAACTTTTACTCCTCAAGATTCTGAAGAGGATAGTAGTTCTGAGTCAGAAATTCATAAAAAACAATCTGAAGTTCTTTCAAAAGCTAAATCTGAAAAATCAAAAAAAAATGTACTATTAAAGTCTAAAAATAAAATAGGTGTAGATAATGATTCGGAATCATCCGATAGTTCAACGGAAAAAAAAAATAAATCATTATCGAAAAGTAAACTTGAAAAAGTCGAAGAAGAAGATTCGGATGATACTGAAGAATCTATGGATGAGGACGAAGATTCGGATGAATCAGAATCAGAATCCGAAGATGATACACCTCTAGCTCTCAAGGTTACACCAAAGATTAAAGTTGCTCCACCTAATAAAGTTGTAAAGAAAAATGGTAAAAGAGTCGAAGCTTGGCTTGACACAGGTACTTGAGACTTTGAAAAAAAAAATCTATAATTACATGTACTTTTTTTATTTATTTTCATTTTTTATTGTTAGTCTCAAATCCAGAACCAGAAACCAATAAACGAAACCGTCGACCTCCATCTGCATATAACCCAACCACCTCTAGCCCGCTTAATCCAATGGGATTTGGCTATCGATTATCGCCTACACCAGAACCTATTCCAATATCAGAAAATCGTCGACCACATTCATCCACCGAAGACTTTTGTAAGTTTTGTAGAAAAATGATCATTAAACCAAATTGCGTATAAAATAATTCCTAATTTAATTAATTTAATTAAAATAGATATATCGAAACCACAATTTCAACAAAGAAAGAGGGCAAACAGCGAGTTTGTACCTAAAGGAAATAAAAACATGCCAGAACAATTATCACCACAATTCACGCAAATTGGCCGCGTTTCACCTAGTCCAAGACAAGATTCGGGATATTGGGCACGAGATACATTAACGGCATTATCAGAGGATTTTCGTCATTTGAGTTTAATGAATGACTCAAGTTCATCAAATAGTAACAATTCGCAAAGTAAAAGTGACAGTTCAAGTGGTTTAATGAAACATAGGGAAAATAGCAGCTTATCATCTTTTGGTAGTCGATCACATTCACCACAAGTCCCTTCTCCGACTTTACGTTATTCACGGTCAAGAGATTCGTTATATGCCACAAATAATAGGCAAAGTTATTATATGACTAATAATATTAGCAATCGAATTAGTTCCGAACCCCTCTCAAGTAATAATAGAGTTTCTTATTATCCACCCCAGCAAAAGTATAGGGTCCGTTAAAAATTGACCTTTTTTGCGTGAAGATTTTGTCTTTAATACACAAAAATTAGTTTAATATTCCTTCTTATTATATACCTTATGAATAATTACTATTAGATATTTTTTTGTATTTTTTATGTTTAAAACAAACTTGTATTATTAATTATTCACAAATTTTGCATTTTCTGATATATCTCCATTGTATCGTGAAATCGTAACGGCATAATATTTTGACATTGATTAAATATGAGATTACAAAGATTTACTCTTGATAAAGAAATTCTTATATATACAGTTATAACAATTTCAAAGGAATGAAAAATTGTTTAATAAATATAAACAGCAATTTAATGCATCCTTTTCTTTTTTTAAATATTTGAATTTAAAATGTATAAATGTGTTGAAAATAAACGTGAATTATTGTTAAAAATTTGTATAGTGAATGTATACAAGTTTTTGGTAAAAAAGATATTTATTATTTATGCTACTTTTTTGTTAATTACACTTGATAAAAATTATGTTAATGTAAAAATAACGTCAATCAAATGAAATCGCTATCATAAATAGACAGGATCAAAGTTCATAATGAAAATATCATCAAGATAAAATAGAATATTAATCATCCATATCCTCCCATTCATGACCGAGAGTTTCTAAGGTATCAGCCATTGATTCTACTTTACTAAAGATTTCTTCAAAAAATCTGGCTGCTTCTTCTGACTTTGCGAGAATAGATTTGGTGACAATACGTTTTTTCTCTTCTTCCTCGACGGCATGTCGGAATCTCGTGCGCAAGTCATCTGTAGCCAAACGCAACTTCTTACGTCCTTGTCTAACAATACGATTAGTCTCGATATCGACGTATTGAGATTGTGCCAATTGTTGTTGGATTTTTCGAGCCAAGTTACGGGTTAAACTTCTTTTCAAATCACGTATGACATATGCAACGGAAATGCCTCCTAAAATCAATCAAAAATTATTAAAAAAAAAAAAGTACTCATAAAAGAGAACGACAATAAATCATAGTACTTACCGGCAATTAAAATCATTGGAAGGGCGATTTTACGCAAGTTATTGAAACCAATAAAATTGGTAATTTTCCATAAACTAGAAAAGGCGTCCAATCTGGTAGCAACTGCAATTAAAGTACATCCTGAGAAACCGATAATACTCAAACCATCATTCACGTTTTTATCAAAATTAAGGTCAACGAAATCGGACAATGAGACAGTAATGGCATTGCTAATAATATTATGATCACGTTTATACATTTTATCAAGTTTAATTTGACGTTGATTTCCTTCCAAATTTTCTCCCGAAGATTGAATTTTACTAATACAAAGAGCTGTTTCTTTCTTTGCAAATTCTTCAGATAATCGAACCTCTTTCGAGATTTCATCTAACATAATATCACGAACATCATTAGCAAAAGCCCACGCATATACTAAACCAGGATATTCAATGTTGATAACCGATTTATCAATTTCGGAAATTGCGTGTTCCAATCGCTGTTTAGTGAAACGAACAATAAGATCGCATGTCTCTTCGACATACTTTTCTGCTTTTGCACCGATATACTTTTCATCATTGCATAACTGTTCAAAGGATCTTTCGCCATCTTGAAGTTCCTTCAAGGCAGTTTTCGCTTCAATTGATGCGATACTTCTATTAAATTCGGCCAAAACTCCAATATCACTGACAAGATTCTCAAGATAATACTGAGCGGGGGCCAATTTAGACTTGGATCGCTTTTTAAGAATGAAATTTCTCAATGATTCTTCAAGGCTTTGAAAGTCTTCTATTCTTTGTCTATCAGAGGTGTGTGGAGAGGCAGGAGATTCCGAAATAGATTCATCATTATCAGTTTCAATCGGAATGGCTGTCGAAGTTACAAAATGCACAAGATCTTCAGAATGTTCGTGAGTTCGTGGCGAAACTTCTTTTATTTGTTCCAAGATATTACGTTTGCATTTGTTTTTATCTCGGATGTTGTCAAAGCGGTTTACAACAATGAACAAATAGGCTTTTTCATTAGATGCATTTGACAAAAATTCTTTTGCAGATAAAGTAAAATGATTCTCAGCGCTAACTACAAAGACAATAACATCAATTTCTTCCTGTCGAGCAAACAAAGCAGTAGTCTTGAGAGTATCACGATTCAACCCTGGACAGTCAATTAACGCAATATCAACAACTCCGTTATGCAAAAGACTCTGTTGAGCCTTTCGTTTGTCTTTACAATAAACCTAATTACATATTTTTTATATTTGTTACACATTCATTATTTTTACAAAATACAATTATACGTAATAATATAATAAATTAACTTACTTTGAGTTGGGTATATTCCTCAGTACCACCACTAATTGTATCAAATAAATTCACAAAATCAATTTTTGTATAGGTATTCTTATCTTCACGATTATATGCCTCGATATTCTTAATTGCATGAATTTCTTCTTTGTTCGAATTTTCTTGTACATTTAAAACTTCACAGAAAATTGTTGTACAAGGTTGTTGATCTACCGGCATAATTTCACGGCGAAGAAGAGCGTTAACAAATGTGCTCTTTCCTGCATTGACATCACCAGCGACTAAAACTTTAGAGCTTGTATCGGCAACTCGTGAAGAGAGATTTTCGATCCTCTTAATACTTTGAATTATTCTTTCATCTAATAAAGTAGCAACAGAACTTTTATCCAATTTTTCTACTACATTTTCCGCAGACGATCTATCACCTTTTTTCAGGTCCAAATTTAGAACATTAAGTTTATTAATAGATTCCTGTGACGAAGACATATCGGGTTCAGGAGCATGCAATTTCGCTCGAATTTGTTCACGGAATTTATTAAGTGGCTCAGCTTTCATTGTTATCCGTTCACTGATAGATCTCAAGTTATTATCGTCTTTCGGAAAAATTCGTTCAGTTGAAGATTGAGCTTTAAATCGAATAAATGGATACTGAATGTGCCATTTTTCTTTATTTACCTCGCGGTAGCTCCCCAAAATGGACTTTGTATCTCTTAAAAGCGACAGTAACTTCTGACTTTTATGAGCAAAAGCATGACTGCCAGTAAATTTGAATGAATGTGAGGCATGTGATTCAGTTGTTGAAGGGATTATGGCTGGTGGTGTAGTTTTAGAAACAGCTTTATCTGATAGTGAGTTAATGAGGACATCAGAATTGCGATTGTCTGGATTAAATTTTATTTGTACATTTCTTCCAGCGGGAAGAAATGAAGACGACATTTTTTAAACACCCCTACGAAAGGTTTGTTTCTCAAAAAAAAAAATATATAAATCACGTATACATTGACCCATATGTGTAATATTAATATTTATTAAATAGTGATGATCTGTCGTGCCTCATCAAGATTGATCTTTTTTTTGAGAAAAACACCTCAAAATGGAAAGAAGGCGTACTTTACTTGTGAGATCTTCAATGGAGACCCCGTGAATTTTAGAATTTTATTGGTTCATAATTTAACAGGTGAAATACATCACATGTCAAGTTTGTCAAGTTCATGTAAAAAATGCTAAGTGACAAATATTTTAATATTTTGTAAAAAAAATCAAGTCCCTAATAAAAATCAATATTTGAACGGCGTGACACGGTGTGATAAATATTCTACCCCGGATAAACCCTAACCCTAACCGATGCATTTAGGCACGTGGGATGAAATTTTTATGGTGATTGGTTTATGTAAGAATTACATGACTCGATTTTAGCCAATCATTAAATTTAGATAAAACACTATTTTTTGCCTCTTCATAAACAGAACCATTCTTTGATGATACAAGTTTCAAATTATTAAATTCAGCTTATTCAGCTTAATACGGTTAGAATTTTTATTTCTGTATTTAGAAATGTATACAAAATTTTTTACGATGTACAAAAAAATTTGATATAAGAAAATCCGTTTATCAATCGCGTCACGAATTTCAGATATGCCACCTAAAAAAATTAAGGAAACTGCTACATGCGGAAATCCGTTATTTTTAAAATGGTTAGGAGAATGGATGGAATCCGAAAGAGCAACTAACAATAAAATTTATTACACATATAAAAAGGTCAATTATTATCCCTATTTTCTATATTTTCTCAATAATTTTCTGATTATGCTTTATAAATTTTGTATTAGGCGTATGAATCAATGTCCAAATATCCTTTGCCATTTTCGCATCCATCCGAAGCAGCTATTTTAAATGGAATTGGTCCCGGAATTTGTCAAAAGTTGGAGATAAGGTTACAAAAACATTGCGAAGAAATAGGTCAACCAATGCCTCAACGTCTTGGTAAATTGACTAAGGCAGAGAACTCTTAGTTATTATCTCAATCTATGAATGTTCTATAATTAATCTCGACGGATTATTCTTAGATGAATCAATAAAATCAGAAAGAAATGTAAGAAAAAGAAACCAACAAGAAAGTAATGATTACAATGAAGAAATTATGTTAAACGGGGCAAAGCGCAAAAATCAAAAAACTTCCACACCGAAAATCTATATACCAAAATTCAGATCAGGTGCCTACGCGATTTTGCTAGCACTTTACAAGTCGTCCGAAGTTAATTCAATAAGCTCTATGATAAAAACAGATCTCATTAAAGAAGCTCAACAATATTGTGATTATTCTTTTGATATGCCAAACGGAAAACAACATTTTTATACGGCATGGAATAGTATGAAAACTTTACTTGAGAAGGATTTGGTCTATAAGAGTAGCTCTCCTATACGTTTTTCTTTGACAGAAGCTGGATTAACAGTTGCTCGACAGATGGTACTAACTGCAAGTGTACAAGGTCGAAATTTATTCGCTGGCGTTCATTTAAATCAATCTTCAATGCAGAATATAATAAATGAAAAGACCATAAACTCAGAAATTTTAAATTTGGAGAACAATTCAATTAATTCAATTGAGAAACAAATTGGAATTAATAATTCAAGTTCATTGCTAGAATGTTCGTCATCTTTCAAAGATATCGACGATCGAAATGAACATACAATTATTTCCGCTTCGAATATACAGATGTCTACTTTTGATCCTATTATTTGGACACCTGATATATTTGAGGTAATCTTAGTTCTAGATACGCGCGAAGTAAAGTTAAAGAAGGATCGTGATTATATTCAAGAAACCTTACAACAGAGAGGCGTCAAGATATCCGTCAGGAATTTGGAACTTGGCGACGTTATTTGGGTTGCACGGAAAAATGGTTCTTTCATACACCATGAAGATATTGTATTGGATTATATTGTGGAAAGAAAAAGAATGGATGACTTAATTGGAAGCATTAAAGATGGTCGATTTAGAGAACAAAGGGTATATAACTATATAAATTTATTTTTTGTGAAATCGACTTCAACAATAAATGTAATAACCACTATTTTTCATTTAGTTTCGTTTATCAAAATCGGGTGCAGGACAAATTATTTATTTAATAGAAGATTATAATCTTGAAAAAGCAGTTGAATTTGGAATGGATGCCGTCAAAACTGCCATGTCATCAATTCAAATGTTAAATGGATATTTCCTAAAACGAACCGCAAACATTGATCAAAGCATTGATTATTTGGTTAGAATGACTAAAATGTTGAAAAATATTTATGAGGTTTGCAATATTTATTCAAGCATTTTTCAGAATTAAAAAAAAAATTATTTATAATTATTATTTTTTTTTATATTCTGTAGAATAAGACTTTGTACGCAATTCCCGATAATGCTATATATCGTAACACATTCCTGGAAATGAAACAAAATTTAACTTTGATGTATCCAGATCGGAATTATCATGTGACATATTCATCATATTGTGATCTCAACAGCAAAAGTAGAAATTTGACATTAAAAGACACCTTTATTAAGATGATAATGACTATCAAAGGGATCAGTGCAGACAAAGCTGCTGAAATAATTAAAAAATATCCAACACCACTTAAATTGGTTCAAGAATTTAATTCTATATCTAACGAGGATGATAAAAAGAAAATGATTATGGCCGCATGTGAAAGCGCCATCCGTCGAAAACGGATTGGTCCTACTCTGAGTGAAAAAATGTACCAAATTTGGTGTGCTGACAATTATTAATTCAACAATTTATACCACTATTTTTTCCACTTCAATTATTAAAATTGTTAATTAATTTTGTTCAAAATGACTCAGAACCTTTTTAAAAGACACTAATATTATGATATTAGTCTAATCATTATAATTGCTTCTTAGGACCCGTTGCCACTTTTCGCCTTTACATTATTCTATCCCTACTCCAATGAGAATCTGATATTAAATAGTCATTATCAACTGTTCCGTGTACCATCAACACCATAATAGATACATAGAGAATCTCTTCTAGTTATGAAATCTGATCCGAGTATTATTATAATATTGATACTCTTGTGATTCAAATTTTTGATTTTCTTGTATTAATTTCCCAATATATTCTTGTTTACATTTGATTTCAAAGTTTTATTTATAAAAAAAACTAATGTCAATCCCAGCATTAAAACCGTCACTGGCAATAAAATTTTAAATAAAATTATAAAATTGAAAGCAAAATTGATAAATATACAAGGAAAATATCATTCTTGAAGTGCTGAAAGGCTGTAAAAAAGGAAAAAAGGAAAAAATTGGTATGATACAAAATATAAGATAGAATAAATGGCACCAAGAATGACGTTCAGCTTTAACCGAGAAACTTCATATCTAAAGAAAATTACACTATAAAAATAAATAAATAAATAAATAAATATATATATTTTTGATTCCAAATTAAAAAAAAAAAATAAAATATTCCATGAATTTGAACCTTCGACATGCGTTCTGAAATTGCTTCAACTTGTTCATTTGCTGGTTGAACTTCAGAAACTTCTCGAATAATTTCTTGATGTTTAACTTCTGGCGGATTTTCATTAATTTCGCGACTACCCTCTTCTTTTATAGTTTCATAAACTTCTTTATCTTGAATTACATTATCTATTTGAGGTTGAGGATTTACAGAAATGCTAGCAGAATCCTTGGGCTTATCTTCTGGTAAGCTCTCTAATTCATTTTCTTGTGAAGTTTTATCTTCTATTTCCTTTTCTTCAATAGAAAGTTTTACTGAACTTAATGGTTCGATTAAGTCTTCAACGTCTTCAGGTTTATCCTCCTCTTCTTCTTTCTCTTCCTCCTCTTCTTTCTTTTCCTCCTCTTCTTTTTCTTCCTCCTCTTCCTCCTCTTCCTCTTCTTCCTCCTCTTCCTCATCTTCCTCCTCTTCCTCTTCTTCGTCTAATTCTCCTAAGGCATTGGCATTTCCGTGTTCTTTTAAAGCAGAAATTACCTTTTTGATTGAAGTATCTTCGGAATTGACATTATTTCCAATTAATTCTAACGAACTCAAATTTTTTAGATGTAAAGATATCGCAGAAGCCAAAATACTAATGCCTTTACTACCGATTTCGTTATATTGAAGATCGAGAGTTTCGAGATTTTTGTTATGACCTTTTAAAAGGGCTTCAGCTATAATTACACCACCCTTTTTTGATAAATAGCAATCTCCTATATTAAGGAACTTCAATTTTGGCCAATTAACAAGCGCCTCAGTAAAGGCTTTAGACCCAATTTTTGTAAAAGTATTGTCTTGTAGATCGAGAATCTCTAGATCTTTGCAAGCAGCCAATCCTTTAGAAAGAGCGAAGATACCCTCAGATCTAATACCATTTTGAGGGATACGAATTTCTGTCAAGGTGCCATGAGCAGCAAAAGCATCAGCAAGAGCATGGCTGGATCCATCCTCTAATCGATTACGACCAGCAATAATAGTTGTCAATGATGACTTTTTACCGTCCGCGGAATTTTTTCTAGCCGCAGCAATTAAAGCTTTACCAATTAATGTACCACCCTCAGGCCCAAGACCAACATTATTAAGTTTTAGAATTTTAAGCCAACGATTATTAGTTAAAAAATTAACCATCGGTTCTGCGCCAGCAGGACCAAACGCGTTATTGCTGAAATTAAGTTCTAAAAGCTTTTCTTTATCCTCAAGCGCGTCACAAAGAGCTTTCACTGCATGAGGAATTTCTTCTCTAAGTCTACCCGTAAATATATCAGACGCGTCAACTACCTGAAGTCAAATCAGGAACGCGTTAGTAATGCTGGAGAAAAAATGCTCGTCCAGTATTATACTTATTTTTAAGTACTTGCCTTAATGGTACTTTTCTTTTTTAAAGCTTCGGCTATTGCTTGAGTAGCTTCAACTCCAAAAGTGTTTCCGCTCAGCACAACTTCCTCCAAACTATCCATTTCCAATATTGAATTCACAAAATCTTGGACATCTTCCGCAGTTTCTAATTTCAAGCCTTTTCCTTCAATGCTAAATTTAGTACCTTCTGCGTTATTTGTATTATTTGTCATGATGAAAACTTTATGACAAAGAATCTTTAACTAAGGGATTTAACAAAACTCAAAAATTTTTTGAGTAACGTAAAACAATCTTTTAAGATTTTGAAGATTACTCCAGATTTTAATACAATAATTACTTTTTTAGAATAAGTAATAATACAGTAATTTTGCTGCGGGTACTATATACTTCGAAGTCTATTCTAATAATTTATTATAATTTTAAATTCAATAAATACATTCAATTGCTCCTGATCATAGGATTTGAAGATTCAAAAATTTCACTTGTAGGTTTTGAATTATTTTATCTGTTTTGCCGATAATTTTTCCGAATCCCGAAAAAGAGAACCAATTTGAAAACGGGACTCTTAATTCTGTCGTTTGGACGGATTTGCATATATACATCGATTTGCAAAGTTTGTATAACATTGTGGCAAAATTCAGGACGCAAACCATTACATATTGAAACAGCAAGACCTGAATTATTATCGTGTGTGGAGAGCAACATAAGGTAAAACACCATATAAATTTCCATCAGTATTTGTTTCGTTACGACCTTTTGCTAATCCTAAATCAGAAATAGCTGGTTCTTTCATATATTCCCTTTGAAAAACTAAAATATTTCCGCAATGAAAATCTTGATGAATAAATCCTGCTTTGTGAATTAGATAAATATCCATGTCAAGAATTTTAAGTTTTTCTTTCCATGATATATTTTTAAAATTATAAACAAATACCCAAATTGTGCATATTCAAAAACAATCATAAATTGCATTGCGTTTGAATCCATATGTTTCAATAAAATTATTTTTTAAATGACGTTCTATCGATTTTGCTCCTGATTAAGAGATCTTTTTTATTTTTAAGTCTCGATTTCGTAAAAGCATCCACAAAGATAATAAAATAAATTTTTTTTTCTTCCACCGAGATGAATATATCTACACATACTTATAAGTAATCATATCGAATACAATTAAATTGTGACTTTTCTTCTAATTTATGCATAGCTGTTTGATTTTAAAAATTCTTAATATTTATAAGCTTATATTATTTACGAATGTTTATATTCTCTTCTTAGCTACTTTATTTCATATTTATTTATTAACTTGACCTTTAGATACAATTCTGAGGAGGTGTTTGGTCTTTTTGTTATATCGTCTCGTAGTTCTTTTATCAAATACACACAGGATCAGACAAGGTTTTCTTCCAATTTGGTATTAATAACAGATGAGAATTTAGAAGAAAATTTGGAGCAATTTCAAGTAGGTCCTTTAAGATTGGTAATTAAGGAAACTTTGGGTGAATTGCAGGGCTTACATATTAATTTTGAAAGATAAATTTTGGAGAAGTTTGATAATTTTCGATCTGAGAACAGAAGTTACAGTTCGAATAACTTTATATTTCATTTAATTATTATTTTTCTTCTTCTTGTAATCATTATTATTTTATATTATAAATAAATATTATATTATCTATTTTATCTATCTAAATATTACTTTACTTTTCTTTTTTATTGAATTCTATTTTCTGAAAATTAACGAAAGCTATCAAAAAAATCAAACGTATTAGAGAAGTAACAAAAAGGATTCAAGTTGCAAATATCATTAGAGCAAATTCTTCAATATTTTTATAATCAGATAATATATTTATTATATTACTTGTTTATATAACATTTCAATTCATTTTTCTTAAGAAAAAACTGGTACAGTCAGGTCTCTTTATAATCACACTCTATATAATCACATTTTTTTATAATTACTATAACTTCTAGGACAAACTGAATTTCTAATTAAAAGTATCTTATATAATCACATTTCATCTATAATCACTATCACTAATTTTTTGAGTCCTGTACTTAGTAATGCTCCTCTCATATAATCACTAATTATTTAGATGTATATTTAAAATCATATAACAATATGCTTAGATGTTTAACAAAGTATGTCACTTTCTAGAAAAAACAAAAAAGAATTAAAAGTGTAATAAATGACTCTCAACATATTGATATTTGTACATATGCAATACAATATCTCTTAATAAGTCATAATAATATTGTAGCTTTTTTTAGTTCAAAATATGGTCTTAATATCGAAAGGTCTACTATCACTAAAATTCTATCACAACAAAAGAAATGGCTCTTTTCTAAAACTTCTACAATTGTAAAGTATTGTGATATCAAGTTTCCCTTACTTGAGAAGACTTTAGTATATTGAACTAATCAAGTTATTGCAGGTAGTATGATAATTTCTGATGAAATTCTTCAAGAAAAAAGAAAAGAATTTGTAACTCATTTTAATATTGAAGAAAGTCAATTAAATTTTTTCAAAGGCTAGTTAACAAAATTTAAAAAAAGAAATAATATTCATATATATAAGTTACATGATGAAGCTGAATCTGCACTTCTGGAATCTTTAGCTGAAGAACACTTAAAATTATAAAAATTATTATTAAAATATAATTCAGAAGATATTTATAATGCTGATGAAACTGGACTTTTTTTCAAAATGTCACCTAATCAAATTTTAGCAAAACGAAAAAGAACAGGAAAAAAATTGATAAAAGAATTTATAAAAAATTAAATTGTTCTTTAAATTGTTGTACTAATATTTTTATTATTAATTTATTTAAGGATAAAACCAGAGTTACAGTATTACTTGTTACAAATATTATAGAAATACACAAGTTGAAACCATTGGTAATTGGCCATAATAAAAATCCTCGATATTTTAAAAATATCAATGTTACAAGTTTACCAATAATATACAAGTATAACAGCAAAGTATAGATACATAATGATATTTGTGAATCATAGTTAACATATTATGATAAAGGATTTCAAATTCAAAATTGTCAGGTTCTTTTGTTAATAGATAATGTACCTTTTTATACTAGTCTACTAAAAAATAATTCTAGTAAAAATAACTCAGATTCAGATTTAATTTAAGAATTTTCAAATAATAAATAAAAAAAAAATATCAGAAAAAAATAAGCAACAATCTAAAGATAATGAATCTTTTACTTTAACTAATATTACAATTCATTATTTTTTTTTCAATACAATATCACATATTCAACCATTAGATGTAGGAATTATTAAAAGTTTTAAAACAAAATATAAATATTATTTCTGTAAATATATATTAAATCAATATAAAAAAAATATTAATTATAAAAAGTAGGTAATTTTTTATAAATTAATTTATTTAATATTTCTGGTACTTACATTATACGTGTTGCCCAAATCCCAAATCATTTGGGATTTGGGATGCCAAAATCCCAAATTACTAGTATTTGGGATT